CTGAATACCAAGTCGCAGCTTGGGAGAAAGCCTTTGCTGGAGCAACCAGCATGGAGAATGATTAGTCTCTCTCCTTTCCCTAGAGGCAGCTTTCTACGTGACCCCTTATCACCCCCATCGGGTACCCACTGACTGCTTGCAGTGTGCGAGGCATTGACCCAGGTCTCGTCCAAGTACATTGGCTTGAACCCTTCCTCGCACTTATTCTTTATAACCCTCAGAAAATTATTTCTCAGGCGAACGATATCAGGGCGTTCACAGAGTACTGACCTATTCTTCCCTGAAATTTTCTTATAACGATACCCGAAAGAGTGTAAGAGTTGCCAGAGTGTGTACTTTGATACTCTGAGGTTGTGTTCTTGCTTCAAATGCTTTTTTTAAATTTTCAGCGACATGTATTTGTTTTCAGAATAGAGCTTGTTGATAGACTGCCTTACAAGGTTCTTTTGACAGTTGTCCAAATGTTTTAATTTGTGTGATTTTGACACGACCTCTACCTGCTTTGCATCACCCTCACAATGTTTGAGTTCCAGAACATTTGTCAGTACCCTTGCTGATACTCCTAAAGCTTTTGCTGCCCGCTTTCAGAATTTATTAATGGCATAAAATGGTTTGCCCCTTTCGACTTCAGCACGGAAAAAATCGTACACTTTCATCATCAACTGTTTCATGTCAGCATTCAACTTCATTTTTCATCAGGCATGTGTCTCCCATGCACGACGAGATAGTGGCTGTTCCGTTTCTGTGGTTTCACCCCGCCGTGACAGATAACACCTTTTGCGTTTTCAATGATGATAGTTTCTTAAACAACTTTTTTGGTGGAGTCCGGGAAATTTTCAAATATAAGAAAGCTGTTTGGTATTAGTAAATGATAAACATGTGTACTATTTATATTTATGTGGCAATTTTGTACAATGATAAAATTTGCAATTCATCGGTCCGTTTCTGACTAAAACGGACTGTAGTTCGTCGGGCCAAACTGAGTCGCCGCACCAGAACCGGATCATAGTACGGTTTCAGATCTTAACTGATCCTGGTCATCGAACCGTGCCAGATCGCAGATCCTACAGCGTTCGCCAATCCGACAGCGTTCGCCAAACCATCAGTATTCACCAAACTGCCAGCATTGCTGAACCATGCTGCCTTTAAAGTACAGAAATAATGTTGGTTCAGTCGACACACATGGTCACTTGGTTACAGCTACAGCTATCCGGCGTAAGATCATACTCACTCACTCACTCATCTACAGCTATCTTGAGCAAGATACCAGATGCTCTACTTACTACATTCAGCTTGACGGATCGGAACTTGTCAACACTGTTTTTTCACATGCTCATCAAGGATCATGGCCTTGCATCTAGATACGGTCAATTATACCCGCTGTTAATTAAACTCTACCAGCTTTAAACACTATGTTAATATTCAGGGCATTTCTGATACGCTGAATTCCTCACCACGGAGTGGCATGCTCTTAGCATGACCATTCAACTTGGCTCTCCGGATTACCCTACGGCATGTGAGGCGTTAGAAAATTTTATTCACATGACTTATCCCACCTGGTACCCCCTTTCTGCTGATTGAACAGATGAAGTAGCTCTGTCAGTAGCACAGACATCTAGATTACACTGGCACTTGACGCTCTGACAATCCCCGATCTCCCAGACTTGGAGTACGTGACCAGAGCTCATATCATTCCGGATTTATCTACCTTCCGGTCTTCGCCTTGATGAATGATTTGGTTTAGGAATCTACCCTTCGGCGTGGATATCAGTTCCTTAACCACTCGTCTGTGCGTTACTAGACAGGCTTGCTATCCAGGAATTTTTCCGACGCTTCACTGAGTCCTGTTACTACAAACTCCTCATAACAGCGTTATGGTGTAATCATGGCCTGCTTTGTCATCTTCATCACCCTTCCCTTTACATCAGCAAGCCTCTGGACAGATGGGTCAAGTTTCTGCGCAGGGTACCAGTACTGATGTCAAGTAGCTATCATCCCCTTGCCGAGATGTTACAAAGTTGTGCCTCGCACGGTTCACCGAAGACCGTGTTGTCCGGACTTTTGTCACTGTTGCATTGTGGGTACCATTTACAAATGGCAGACTACCCCTTGTTTATCGGAGAATTATTATATTTAGAGTCACTATGAAGTACACTGACACATCTGTCTAGGTCCTACAAGCGGATAACAATCCCAGCCTTTTATTGCCAGTGACGATGAACAGTGCCATTCCCGGTAAGAGTGATTATGTTGGGATTCTTCAGCCAGCCGAGAGAGACAGTTCACCAAGAGTTACTTGGCTTTCAACTTCAGCCCAAGCCCTCAGTTCAGAAGTCACTGCAGTTCTGCTCGCATGGTCCCCAGGCACATATTTTACGGCCTTTGTCTCCCAGACGAACCTTCCCTGACGTCAACAGGCTTTTATACCTTCGTCATTACAGCAACTTTACGAATGTTTAGGTAGATCGACGATCTCCATGCATCGAATCTACTAACTTTATCACTCCATCTGGCGGACCAATACTTCATTTGGCGAACCAACGTTCCTGAGATCACTCATTTTACGACCTTAATCACTCTGTGCACAGTGTGAACGTTCCTGTGGATTGATTGACAATCTCTATGCGCTGACTCTACTACATTCAGCACTCGGTCAGTGCTGCCATGGTAGCTTGACTATTTAAATGTTCCTATCTCAGGAGAGATATCCCTACATCAGTGGCAAGAGTTGCTAGGTCTCCTTACCTCAGCACTAGCCTTCAGTTACAGGGGTCAACTCTAGGCGCTACTTCACCTTCGAAACTACATTGATGATTGCATCCAGGCACAACAGGATTCATTCGTACTTCTTCCCAACTGCAGTTCACCACCATGCTGCTCCGGCAGTTAGGGTGGCTATTGTACAGGGTGGCTATTGTACTTTGTGGAATCGGAACTAACATCGATCCAGAGACCCCACTTCATCGATCCATGCTTTGACACCAGTCAAGGGATGATGTTCGCCCTTCAAGACAGCTGGATGAAGATCTAGCGATGTGTTGCTCCAGTGCTATCTCAGTGGCAGGAGCTACTAGGCTTTCTGACGTCAGATCAAGCCCTAACGTACAGAGTTCAGCTTCGGCTGTTACAGCACTTTTTGTGCCCGTACCTTTAGGCCGACAATCCCAAGGAACTGATTCATCTTCCCGAACCCGTCACGCCGAAGTCCCGGGTTCAAATCCTCACATGGGAATAATGTGTGAAGCCCATTTCTGGTGTTCATCTGTAATACAGAAGCTGTTGACTACCAGCAAGATTCTACTGCTTTGGTCGTGCTCTAAGTCCTGACCAGCGAGAAGTTAGTTTGTTGACCTAAGAAGCCTGGCAGAGCCAAACCCAGTACCACTTCCCGACCGTGGCAACCTGCTTTTTCACTTCAGTTCATCGTAATTCGACCCGTTCTTTCTACGATGATAGTGGAAGAAGTTTGAAGGCTGTTGTAACATTAGGGAAATCCATCTCCCAATCTGCCTCTACTCAGGTCGTTTCTGTGTTCCTGCAGCATCTCCGTGCTACTAGGGAACTCAAGGGTACTACGTTAGCTACCTAACTGGCAGCTATCCCAGTTGAGATGAACACAAGCGAGTACATAACTCAGTGACCCAAAGAGTTATCTGTAGCTCTGGTAGTAGCTTGTACACAGCTACAAGATCTGAACAGTTGTTTAGGGGACTACATGTTTGTTTGCCTTGACAAACCTGATGAACTGCAGACTGAGCCATTTCACTTGTCAATCCCTTTACCACCGGTAATTGAACAATGATCAGCCCAGCACCAGACTCAAAAGCCCTGGAGGAGGGTACCCTGTCCATTAGTTTCATCTGCTGTCACACATTTTCCCCAAGACATAGAGTAGTGATTTTGTGTTAATACTAATGGTTCCAAGTCTTTTCCCCATGGAACCTGCTGACTGTGGAGCAAAGCAATCTGTTACACTAAATCAAGATTGGACACCTCTTATTTGTTTGGCTAAAGTGCAGGCCAAAAACTACTGTAAGCAGCGTTTAAAATTCCCGCCTGCCCGACCATCCGGAACAGTCTATTTTCATCTCGGACGGTCAAATTTCAAAACCTGTCCTGTGGTCTGGTAGATGTTTTTACCCCTAACAGTAAATATTTCATAATATCAGACAGGTTATCTTGTCATCAGTTGGAGGTGTTTGTGGTATTGTGATAATTATGTTAAACTTTTTACGATTGAAATATACAACTTTATGGATGACAACTTCTGGTTTATTTGCGTTGAGTGACGTTTCGATGTAGAGTCTTACCTCGTTATTCAGCTCAAAGTGTATTTACGATTGGACAGTTCATTTTACAATAACCAATCACAACACATGTACTTTCAGTTTACCTTAACTCGGTGCATTGCCTGTTAGTGCTATGTTGTTCATTGTGATGCCCACAAACAGTAAAGTATTCAGAAACATGATTTTTGTTTTCATTGTTGAAAACCGGACAGGCAAAGTTGCATCCGGACTGGTAATTTATTTAATTGACCAGTCCGGCTGTCTGGCTTGGAATTTTGGGAGTTTTAAACACTGCTGTAAGTCAGATTCAGAAACAGTGGCAATTTCATGAAGACCTTGTTGGATAATCTGACATCAGAAACAGCAATATCTCCATCACAATTATCATGATCTGACAATAGTCTCCGTCATGTAATTATGATGATCTGACACCAGAAACAGCAATGTCTCACAACAGTCTCCATCACAATTATGATGACCTGACACCAGAAACAGCAATGTCTGACAATAGTCTCCAGCATGTAATTATGATGATCTGACAATAGTCTCCGTCATATAATTATGATGATCTGACACCAGAAACAGCAATGTCTGACAATAGTCGCCATCACAATTATCATGATCTGACAATAGTCTCCATCATGTAATTATGATGATCTGACACCAGAAACTGCAATATCTCATTATTGTCTCTTACATTCTGTGTTCCAGAGTGACCTTATTGAGCGGGTTGTATTGCCACATCTCGGTCACATTGAGATGGACCCTGACCCTGATGTGAGGAAGGTGACTGTTGAGATGTTGCTGGTGCTGGCGCAGGATTGCAAGACAGGCGAGTTCCAGGACATCATGGCAGTTGTTGAGAAGGTAGGCAAGTGTCTGTCGGCATCACCATCAATATCTAAAGTACTGTCGGAAATAGAAAACAACTGTATTTTCTCATTTATCTCTACAATTTATGTAGTTGATATGTGAAAGTGTGAAATATCTGTTAAACTAAGTTCGGCCTAACTACAGTCTCAGTGGTAGGGAGATAGGAAACGTAGAAAAAGGACTTTACTGAGGAGAGATTAGTGCAGAAATGAGCAATGCAGGTTTTTTCTAAGTCCAAAACGACTTATTTAGAACAGACCTTGGCTTTATGCAGATTAGTGTGCGACGATATTGTATTACAAAGGACACTTTTTAAATGCCCAATTTGAAATTAGACGTAGCTTTATTATAAATGATAGCTGACGTAACAAATAATAACTTTTATTCTGAAACTATTAAGGATGTAGCTACCATGGAGTCTCACTGTCACTATAAAAAGAAAAAGATAGGAGGGGTCGTCTCAAAAGGAAAACCTGGACGGGTGTCGCAGACGATCGTTGGGGTCGGGCCGGGGGATAGAGATATCAGCTAAGATGAGATAATCCTTTAGAGCAATTATACTGGGGAAGTACACGGCATGTCATAACAATTTACAAATAAGATCCAGTCCTGTCGATCTTCAGGTGGTCATGCCACCTATATACAGTCGTGCCCCGTTTATCCGAACACTTTTTTTTCTTTAAATTGTTCGGATAAACGAATTTTCGGATATCTGAACCGAGGACCATATGGAAAAAGACAGACAAACAAACGAACATAATAAGCCTCAGACGTATTCTTTATTGATTGATTGATCAACAAATAACTAATACATACATAAAATCAGATCTTGTCAAATACAGTACTCAAGTCAATATTTTTACACGTGAGAACAACCCTGTACATGCAGTTATGTTCGCTTGAAGAAATGTGTCAAAGTTTTTTGTACAGGCTTTGCAGAAAAGTGAGAAGACTTCACTTTCAGTATGCGAGTTCGAGGTTGTCAGTGTCGCCTGCACATTCGTAGTACCTGATCAACTGGTCAAGGCAGACACGAGCTTCGTTGTGAGACACGGGTGGGGGAGGTGGCGGCTGCTCAACTTCATTGTCATCATCATCAGTCTCGTTGTCAGGACACACTGCTTGCAGGATGTCAGTGTCACTCAGGGATTCGCCAGTCAGTTCGTCACTGTCGACATTCACAAGGTCGTCGGCAGTAACAGATACAGGTGCAACTTGCCCATAGGACTGTAGTGCATCGCGAAGTTCCGCCAAGGCCATGTCTTCTTCTGGGTCTTCATTTGATTGGATGATATCGACATGGCGAAAACAGTTAGCGATTGTCTTTTCGCTCACAGAGGTCCAGGCTTGCTTGATCATCCGTATTGCAGTGCGTAAGGTGACAGCTCGATTTTCGTTTGTATCAACACACTCGATGAAGTGTCTCACAACAAGCTTGCGGTGATGTGCTTTGAAAGCACGGATGATTCCTGCATCCATCGGCTGAATGTGTGCCGTCGTGTTGTCAACTTCACATTGGGTGTGTGGCTAGATGCATTGTCCATCAGTAATATCACAGGCCTACCTCTCAATCTCATCTGTCTGTCAAATGTTAGCAACCAATCACGAAACAGTTCTGATGTCATCCACGCTTTTGCATTGTTCCTGTACCCAACATAAACCTCCGAATTAAAATCAATGCTAAAACAACGGGGACGTCTAGACTTGCCAATAACAAATCCATCACAAATCCAAAGATAAACTGTATTTTGATGTTTAGCATTACGAGCGCGTGATAACTCCAATGAGCTTTCGGGAATTTCTAGCCATCTTGATTTGTCTTTTAAAATGTCACTGATTGTCGACTTGCCAATGGTGTGACCGAATTCTGTGCCAAAATGTTTGCTCAGGGTTTCCAGACTTGCTGAGGGATACTGCTCTTTGTACTTGCAAATTTCTTTTTTTTTTCTCGCTGTAATGGCATGGCGTTTACGCTTTGTTGGTTGGCTTGCCATGTTGACAGACAACGTTTCTGATCAGACAAGAATTCATCAGCGTAATTATAGTGACCCACCAATTGACCGCCTCAAGATTAACTCAGTGTCACCTTGCTAATTAAGGGCAGTTAATCCTCTCACCCTTCAAAGAATGCCGGCTTGTAACCCTTGTTTCATGTTAGGCCACGTAAAATGCGTGTGTAAACATACTGACAGGCGCTCAGCCATCCGGATATACGAGAAAAAAATGCATATGATTTAGCATTTGGTATGTGAAAATGACCGTCCAGTTACGGAAACCGGATTTCCGGTTAACTGAGTAGTTTTACAACGTTGTGAATTCGTTTTAATGAATTTTCGTTCGGAAGGCGAGTTTTCCGGATATCTGAGGTTCGGATAAACGGGGCACGACTGTATTTTGAGACATTTAATACGATGCGTTTCTGTGGTTATCAGGTATCATACTCTTTTACATATCTCAACGTAAACTTTATGAAAGAAAGACACGTAAGATGTTAATCAATAGATAAGACATAGTCGACACACATGAAAAAGCACAAAATATCTTTGAGATGACCCCTTGTGCCTGTAGGCAGCACATGCATTTCATGCCAGGTGAGTCGACGGTCCGTCGTCACACCTGGCTGAGCGACCTAATTGCCATCAAAAGCCTGATCTATTGTTTTCAGCAGCTATTCGTATATTTTCTAAGTTTTGCCCGATTTTACGAGTAAACAGGCTTTTCTGGATATCCTATTACGCATCCCACTGAATGCCAAGTTAGGCCGAAGTGGGTTATTTCGACATATGCTATTTGCAGTTGTGTAATTCTTTTTTATATATTCCTCCTTGGGGTACTTATAAGCATTTAAATGTCCATTTAAATTCCCTACGACAGTTGTAACAATATTTGAATAAAAATATTTACAAAACAAAAACTACGTTTTGTCTTGTGAGACCACCCTTACAGGGCCCTCCGGCCCCCTACAGCCAAGAGCAGGTAACTCTAGACCGTAACCTCGTACCTCACTTTCCATGCTGTCGTTTCCCAACAAGACGTGGGTCCATTACAAGAAAGTTTTCTTTTCTCGGCGAGAATTATGAGTGGGTCAGAAACAGCAATTGTATGTATGGTTCTCTTTTTTACCTGCATGGGCGATTTGAAGGCTTGTTCTGAACTTTTTCATTCATAATTTTTAGTTGTAACTTAGTACCTGTCGCGGTCGGCTCGCCTGTACTTCGTGCCTCGCTGCCATTCCCGTCAGGGACACACACGAGGTGTGCTTACGCTGCCTCACCCAAACTGAGCATGAGGAAGAGGGGTGTGTGTCATGTGCCACTTTCACGCCTCAAACTATTAGAGCACGACGAGTGGATCAGCTGTTCTACAGCAACCTGATTCGGGCGGGGGGTGATATCTGGGCGCAGGATCCCCCGTCCAAGCGTTCACACAAAAAAAAGGGGTCACGGGAGCGGCTCCGTATGGGAAGCGGCTGCCCCAGACCCCTAAAGGTTCCAAGGAGGCATCTAATACCAAACCTCAACCTGCTCCTGTCTCTACACACACACACACACACACCACACCCCCACCCCCACCCCCACCCTGTTGTAGGCCGGCACCAGTTGTGCCTGTTGAATCACTAACCACTTTATTCCAGGAACAGATGGCGTCAGTGAAATCTCTCATCGATACGGCGTTGGATGGGTTCCGTAAGGAGCTCAGCGCGCCGGTCGTGGGGGGTGGATCTGACACATCTGAGGGGGTTGGCTGCGGCCCGAGCTCCGGCTCGGGGAATGCGCCTCCCCCAGGGCAGCTTGATCCCGGCTTCGGCCGTGGAGTTAGCGCGGCCTCGCTTCGGGCGTAGGTCCGTCACAGGTGGCTGGCGCCGGCGATGCAGGGTTGCCCCTGGCTTCGCCTGGTGCCCTGACTGGCAGTAACCTCGGCACTGCCCAGCTCGGGGACACCTCGGCGCCTGGCAGCCAGTCTGGGTTGCCTGGGAGGCCTGTTGCAGCAGGTTCCTCTCGGGCGACTTGGGGCGAGTTCTGCCCGCCCGGCCCGGCCTCTGGACCTTTATGGTCTTTCGGGTTCAGCCTCTGGTGTATCCTCGGCGGTCTCTCAGGAGTATGAGAGTACGGCTGCCGAGGATTATGCCGAGGTGGACATGGAGGACGATGGAGGGAGGGAGGAGTCGGAGGCGGGAGTGCCGTACTCCTTTGGCTCGTCGCTGAGACAGGTGCGGGAAAAAATTGCCGAAGCCCTGCCCCAGGTGGCCGTTCCCACACAGGCGCCCGACCCCGCAGAGTTTCGGCGCCCGGGGGAGGCTTTCGCGCCTACCAAGGTCGCCGAGGCCCGCCTCCGCATTCTACCATCACTGGTAGGTGAGGTGGTAAATCCTCTCTTGACTGGTTCTCGCACGAGATTTGATCTGCCCGACGTTGGCAAGAGGTACCAGTTGGGAGAGGAGGCGCTATTCGAGCCGCCAGTGGTGGACGAGTGTGTCTTTGCGTCCGTTACTTTGGGGGGATCATCCTCGTCTTCCCTGGCCTCGGCCAGGCAGGGCAGGCGCCTCCCCCCTTTTCCTACTAATTCCCTTACGCTGAAGTCTGCGTACCGGTCCTTCGAGGAGTGCTACCGGTGCGCAGCCCAGCAATTAAAGGTGGCGGTCCACTCAGCCTACCTGTCTGCTCTGCAGGGGCAGCTGGTGGACCAGAGCGCTTGTGACGCCGACTTGTCGGCGCCAGTGCTCGCGCGGCAGCTCACGGGGGTACACTCACATCTGGCTCGGGATAGCATTCGGGTGCTGTGCCAGTCAGATGATGGGTGCCGTGATGGGCCTGCGCCGCCTGTGGTTGTCTGTGGCGCGGTATTCACCGGCCACGCAACAGGCGCTCCTGTCATTGCCCTATACCATGGGATCTTCCCTGTTCCCTGGGGCATTGCAGGTTGTACGGGAGGCCGCGGAGGCTGTTTCTACCTTCAAAGACTCTAAGCCTTTGTTGGAGCAACCCTCCGCTCCTCGCCACCGGCCTTCCCCGCTCGCTTCCGCTTATCCTTCTGCCCCGGCGAAGGACGCTGCAAAGTGGACTGCCCCTTTGCAGTCCAAACGGAGCAGGCGCGCAAGAGGCAAGGGCAGGCCTGCTCAAGCTCAGCAGCCTTTTCGGGGCAGGGGGAAACTGTGGGGGTGCACTGCCTCATGCCACACGTCCCTGTCGGCGGCCGGTTGTCCCTATTCCTTCGGGAGTGGGAGGCAGCCACCTCAAATCCCTGGGTCCTGTCCACGCTCAGGGATGGCCATTTGCCACAGTGGAGGCGAGATCCTCCGTCCTTTTCCGGGGTTCGGCACACGCCTGTGCCGACCTCCCGCGACTAGGCGGACGCGCTCCGTGCCGAAGTTCAGTCCTTACTGAACAAGGCAGCCATCGAGGTGGTTCCTGTGGGTCAGCAAGGAGAGGGGTTTTACTCCACCTACTTCCTAGTGACCAAAAAGGACGGAGGGTTCAGACCCATTCTGAATCTCAGAGGGTTGAACCAGTTACTGGAGGTGCCGTCTTTCAGGATGGAGACACTCAGGTCAGTGAACTCCTCCGTCGAGACAGGGGATTGGCTTATGTCAATCGATCTCAAAGACGCATACCTCCATGTTCCAATGCACCCCGAGTTCAAGAAGTACCTCCGGTTCTCCTTCGACGGGACGTGCTACCAGTTTCGCGTGCTCCCCTTCGGCATCTCCACGGCACCAAGGGTGTTCACCAACCTTATGCTAATCCCAGCTCAGTTGGCCAGGTCTCAGGGCAGGTGTTGTCACCCGTACCTAGACGATTGGCTTCTCAGGGCCTTAGGTCCTCAGTTAAGCAGAGCCTCCACACTGTGCGTGATGGATACTCTGGTGTCACTGGGCTGGATTATCAACCTCAAGTAATCAGACCTCGCTCCACGCAGGATCTGATATTCTTGGGGCCAGATTCAACACGGAGCTAGGGATTGTTTCCCTTGCTCGGACCGCATCGTCAAAGTCCAGAGGACTGTTACACAGTTTCTCCAGTCGCCCAATGCGTCAGCCCGAACATGGCTTCGGTTGCTAGGCAACATGGCAGCGACAGTGGACGTGGTTTGGCGTGCGCGTCTGAGGATGCGACCAGTTCAGCAAGCGTTAGCTCAGCTGTGGTCCCACTCGCAGAGCTACGAGATTATTCTCACAACGCCCGAGTGGTTAATTCCTCACTAGCGATGGTGGACGGACGTCGGGAATTTGTCCAGGGGGATCCCCGTCGACACCCCGACACCTTCCCTCTCAGTTCAGACGGACGCCTCCCTCACAGGTTGGGGGGGGGGGTGCGGTGGGGTCCTGGGCGAGCACTCAGCCTCCAGCCTCTGGTCAGAGCGGGAAGTCAGCCTACACATCAATGTGTTAGAACTGAGAGCAGTCCGCAGGGTGTTCGAGTGCTTCCGGGTGTTGGTGCAGGGCCATGTGGTTCGTCTAGAAATGGACAATCAACCGGCCATGTCTTACATTCTCAAGCAAGGCAGCACAGTGTCTCCGTCGCTCCTTCAGGAGGCGTGGCAGTTTCTACTATGGTGCGATCAGTTCAGCGTTCGGGTTTTGCCTGTTTATCTCCCGGGGGTAGACAACGTCCGTGCAGATGCACTCTCACGGCGTATACTAGCCCCACACGAGTGGATGCTCGACCGGGAGATATTCGGGATTATCTCCCAGTTGTTCGGGTCGTTCCAGGTGGATCTGTTTGCGTCTGGGGTGACGAACCAGATTCCTGTGTTTTGCTCCCGGATTCCGGATCCGGGAGCGTTAGCCAACGACGCCTTTCAGCTCGATTGGACGGACAGGGTACTGTGGGCGTTCGCCCCGATACCACTGATTTCCAGGGTCCTGTCACAGCTGACCGCACAACCACCTCGGCTACTTGTGCTTCTGGCACCCCTTTGGTCGGCACAAGGGGCGGTGGGGTAGCCTAATGGTTAAAGCGTTGTCTCGTCACGCCGAAGACCCGGGTTCGAATCCCCACATGGGCACAATGTGTGAAGCCCATTTCTGGTGTCCCCCGCCGTGATGTTGCTGGAATATTGCTAAAAGCGGCGTAAAACCAAATTCAGTCAGTCAGTCAGTCAGTTGGTCGGCACAACGCTGGTTTCCGGTAATTCTCAGGTTTCTGGCTCAGCCTCCTGTTCTATTACCTTTTCGACCGGACCTCCTATCCCAGAACCTAGCGCCCCACCCGAATCCCAGGATTCAGTGGGTGGCTTGGCCGCTGTCAGGGATCGCCTCCGTGCGAGCAGAATTCCTGCACCAGTTGCAGACACACTTCTGGCTTCGCGGAGGGATTCGACAAACGTTCAATATGAGGATAGATGGGCCTGTTATTCGCGCTGGTGTGTCAACAGGGGGATTCTTGATCCCTTTTCTACAGATTTAGTCTGTGTTTTAGAATTCCTCCAGTCTCGGTTGGACGCCGGTCTAGCGGCTTCAACTGTTCGAGGATATTCTACAGCTATTTCTGCGTTTCATATTCCTGTTGACGGTGCTCTCTTGGGGCAGCACCCTCCTCTTGTACAGCTTTTAGCAGGCGTGGACAGAATCCGCCTGGTTGTCCGGGCGGATTAGTCCCCGTGGGACTTGTCAATCGATTCTTGATTGGCTGTCCGGTCCACTGTTTCACAATCTGTCGGCTCTTTCACTCCAGCTGTTGACGTGGAAGACAGCGTTTCTTGTGGCGGTGACTTCAGGCAGGCGGGTTGGCGATATTCACGCAATGTCGGCCGATCCCACGCGCTTACTGTTTTTCACAAAGACAGAGTTAGCATACGGCTGCCTGATACTTACCGTCCTAAGAAGGATAGTCCCTTCCATGTGACGGCGCCTATTGAGCTCCCAGCTTTCACTCAGCCTTCCCTGTCCGGTACCTCTCTACGACGTGCTCACGTCTTAGATGTCCGTAAGACACTTAAGGCTTATATCAAACAAACAAGGGGTACCAGTAAGGGTAACCAATTGTTTTGTTGTTATGGCGGGGTTCAGGCTGGTCTTCCGCCACCAAGCAAACCATTTCTCGGTGGCTTGTCTCTGCCATACATATGAGCTATACTCAAACAGGGTATATCCCCGCCTGTAGGGTTGAAAGCTCATTCGGTTAGGCAGTTGCTACATCAAAAGCTTACGCTGCAGCCCTGCCCATTGAGGAAATCTGCTCCAGCGGCTATTTGGAGCCGTCGAGCACGTTCATCCGTCATTACCAACTTGACAGACTCTCCAGTGAGCGTGCTTTCGGTTCGGTCAGTCAGTTCTCTCCAGTGGGCATGGTTCCACCTCTCTAGACGATTGAGCTTTCGAGGAATTATGTGAACCATTCTATGCCAAATTTTTTAACACTGGTTTTGGGTTTTTAAAAATCTTGTTTACATATTCCCTTGGTGACGGGTTTTGTGTGGTGATGGTTTTTATTCCCATGTCTTTTGCATTCTGCTCTAGACTTAACTGGCCTTGGAAACTTTGCTAAATATATACATATTAAGGCATTTCGTTTCTGGCGGCTTTATTATGGGACCCTTATCTTGGCTTCGAGTAGATTACGGGAAGGAGGGAGGGTGTGTCTCGTTAGTTTGCTTTAGCGCAGGTTTCAGCTGGGCAATTTACATATGTTCGACCCTGACCCTGGCTCATGCCCCGCCTGATTGGCTATGGTGGACACGTGACCGGGTAAGTGTGCTTTTTCTGCTATAATTAGCTTGGGAAATTCCACTTCTTGTCGGGTGTTTTCTGCAGACAGAATGCGGCTCCTTAGTCCGCCTTTAGGAGTCTGTCTTATGCTTATAAGTACCCCAAGAAAGGAATATATAAAAAGAATCGAACTAACCTGTAGAGGTTTCAGATTCTTTGAATATATTCCTCCTTGGGGTACGCCCGCCCACCTCCCCACATTCTGTCTGATGTCGTTCAGCATGGAAAGTGAGGTACGAGGTTACAGTCTAGAGTTACCTGCTCTTGGCTGTAGGGGGCCGGAGGGCCCTGTAAGGGTGGTCTCACAAGACAAAACGTAGTTTTTGTTTTGTAAATATTTTTATTCAAATATTGTTACAACTGTTGTAGGGAATTTAAATGGACATTTAAATGCTTATAAGTACCCCAAGGAGGAATATATTCAAAGAATCTGAAACCTCTACAGGTTAGTTCAAATTTTAGGGATACAGAGTAACAGCCTAAAAACAGTTTTTTCTATTTCCGACAGTACTTTAGTTATTAACATTGTGTCACATACACAGTGCCATTCAGAAAGTGGTCAAATGTAACATTTGTTATATTTGGGATTACATTTGGGAAGCCGTGGTGGCTGATCCGGTTAGGCAGCTGGCTTTGTGTGCTGGTGATTAGGTGCCTGACTCTGAGGGTGTGGGTTCGAATCCCAGATGGGACTAGAATCTGTACTTTTCTAAGAAAGTGTAATCCCAAACATAACATATGTTACATTGTGTCACATCTCATGTATTAGCACTAGGGCTTTGTATTATATGTTGTGATTCAGGTACACGGTATTGCAATACGTATTGTGATATACTGGAAACTTAAGTGTTTGCCATTGAGTGACACTAATTGTGCATGTCAATCCTATTTTCTACGTTAAAAGTCCCTAAACATACATGTATATGTTAAGGTTCTGATAACAGCGATCTCAACATTAGGTTACATAGTCATGGATATATTTTCCTTTTTCTACAATTTATAGCATTACAGTATGCCTTTTTGTCATTGAATAAAGAAGGTAAACGTTTTTGTGAATGAAAGAACGTGTAATTTAGACCATGAAGATATTCACAAAAACTTCATATATGTTTATTACCCAATATACCGGTTCTCAGAATTAGCACAAAGGGAAATAAACTAAAGGTTGAATGAAATTTGCAGGTGATAAGGAAACCCTTGAGTACATTCCCTGCTGGAGGTGAGATGGATGTGAGTCAGCCAGTGGACGAGGCTTTAGTGGTGGATGTCAAAACAGCTGTCCTCAAACTGTGTGATGTCTTCAAGGTATCCCGCTTCACAACTCAGTGTTTGTCAGAATAGGATGTTCCTGATGGAAGTAGATAGCTGTAACACCATTTAGCTGTAAGGTCAGCTTAATCTGCTATATGAGGGTACTCTGGTACATGTTAAATATATAGAGATTATTACATGAGTGTGTCATATGACTTAATCTGATATATGAGGGTACTCTGTTACCTGGTAAATATGTAGAGATTATTACACGAGTAAGTGTGTCATATGACTTGATCTGATATATGAGGGTACTCTGTTACCTGGTAAATATATAGAGATTATTACACGAGTAAGTGTGTCATATGACTTAATCTGATATATGAGGGTACTCTGTTACATGTTAAATATATAGAGATTATTACACAAGTAAGTGTGTCATATGACTTAATCTGATATATGAGGGTACTCTGTTACATGTTAAATATATAGAGATTATTACACGAGTAAGTGTGTCATATGACTTAATCTGCTATATGAGGGTACTCTGGTACATGTTAAATATATAGAGATTATTACACGAGTAAGAGTGTCATATGACTTAATCTGATATATGAGGGTACTCTGTTACCTGGTAAATATATAGAGATTATTACACGAGTAAGTGTGTCATATGACTTAATCTGATATATGAGGGTACTCTGGTACATGTTAAATATATAGAGATTATTACACAAGTAAGTGTGTCATATGACTTAATCTGATATATGAGGGTACTCTGTTACATGTTAAATATATAGAGATTATTACACGAGTAAGTGTGTCATATGACTTAATCTGCTATATGAGGGTACTCTGTTACCTGGTAAATATATAGAGATTATTACACGCAGTAAGTGTGTCATATGACTTAATCTGATATATGAGGGTACTCTGTTACATGTTAAATATATAGAGATTATTACACGAGTAAGTGTGTCATATGACTTAATCTGCTATATGAGGGTACTCTGTTACCTGGTAAATATATAGAGATTATTACACGAGTAAGTGTGTCATATGACTTAATCTGCTATATGAGGGTACTCTGGTTCATGTTAAATATATAGCGATTATTACACAAGTAAGTGTGTCATATGACTTAATCTGCTATATGAGGGTACTCTGTTACATGTTAAATATATAGAGATTATTACACGAGTAAGTGTGTCATATGACTTAATCTGATATATGAGGGTACTCTGTTACCTGGTAAATATATAGAGATTATTACACGAGTAAGTGTGTCATATGACTTAATCTGATATATGACGGTACTCTGTTACATGTTAAATATAGAGAGATTATTACACGAGTAAGTGTGTCATATGACTTATATGAAACAAGTGTGAAATTTCATAGTGCGAGTTTTGTGTAAGTCATATACCACACTTTCTCGAGTGTAATAATTTCTTTATTATCCATTTTATTCATGTACGTTTGTGCAGTAAAACATGGTAAGCAAGTGTGACAGCCCTCTTCACTGACATGTTCAATTGTTTAATGACGTCACAGACAACAAAGTACAGGAACAATGGCTGCTAGGCAAACTTGATATGTGCACATGTGATATATATGATACTGGTTATGTTTCATAATATGGGTAATAAAATACTGTTTGATCTCATGTTTTTCAGCACCGATTGTACATAATTCCATCAAACTACTGTGTAAGGATTTACCGCCACCTGATTGCTCATGTCAACACCCACTATGTCCATGGTTATACTGGATACTCAGCTTCTTGTATTAGACAGGCGGTAAGTTAATGAAGCTACATCAATATGGCCGTGGTTACTATACTTCCACTATGTCCAAGGTTACCACACTTCCACTATGTCCAAGGTTACTACACTTCCACTATGTCCAAGGTTACCACACTTACACTATGTCCAAGGTTACCACACTTCCACTATGTCTATGGTTACTATACTTCCACTATGTCCAAGGTTGCCACACTTCCACTATGTCCATGGTTACTGTACTTCCACTATATCCATGGTTACCACACTTCCACCATGTCCATGGTTACCACACTTCCACTATGTCTATGGTTACCACACTTCCAATATGTCCATGGTTACCACAGTTCCACTATGTCTATGGTTACGACACTTCCACTATGTCCAAGGTTACCACAATTCCACTATGTCCAAGGTTACCACACTTCCACTATGTCTATGGTTACTATACTTTCACTATGTCCATGGTTACCACACTTCCACTATGTCTATGGTTACCACACTTCCACTATGTCCATGGTTACCACACTTCCACTATGTCTATGGTTACCACACTTCCACTATGTCTATGGTTACCACACTTCCACTATGTCCAAGGTTGCCACACTTCCACTATGTCCACGGTTACTATACTTTCTCTATGTCCATGGTTACCACACTGCCACTATGTGTATGGTTACCACACTTCCACTATGTCCAAGGTTACCACACTTCCACTATGTCCAAGGTTACTACACTTTCTTTCACTATGTCCATGGTTACCACACTTCCACTATGTCCATGGTTACCACACTTCCACTATGTCCATGGTTACCACACTTCCACTATGTCCAAGGTTGCCACACTTCCACTATGTCCATGGTTCCCACACTTCCACTATGTCCAAGGTTGCCACACTTCCACTATGTCCAAGGTTACTACACACCTAATATGTCAATATTTACTGGAAATCTACTGTGTCCATTTTTATTGCATATCTACTCTGTCCATTGTCACCAAACAATGTTGCTTTCAAGGTGATGGAACTGCTCTTACAACTCCGGTCAGATAGTTTCCACCGCATCGGCTTCACAGAGGTTGGACAAGATGGCCCATGTCCATTTAGCCCATATATCACATGTAAACAGAGGTCAGTATCGTCATGCTTTATCTTGATACTGTTCGAACCAGGAGTCTTTATTGATACATTCATTAGCCTAGGTGTAAGGACAACCATGGTGAACTGAGTAGCCCTGGTCAAACAGTACTCTCTCTGTTTGCTGACCCTCAGGACATTGTAGAATTCTTTCTTTATAGTCTTTTGTTATGTTGTAATCAGCCAGTGGATGGGTAAAACACCCACTCTGTTGCGGGGAGCACAAATGTTTCACCTGACAACAATTTCTCAGTGGATCTACATGTGACAGGAAAAGTAACCAATAAACAGGATATTCTTTTCTTTACTGAAGTAAATCTTCTAATACCAGAGGTAGTATCACTTTGCTTGTGTTTTCTAAAGTTTTTGAGAAAAATCAATTATTCCTCATCCTCATGCAGCTTATATTAAAACATCAGAAGTTTGCAACACATCACTGTCTCAGTGGAGGACTGCTGAACTGACTGTACACAGTAGAGCTTGTGTCAAGTATAAAGTGCCTTGTTGCTGACTGCTGAATATGATAGATACCTCTGATTGAGTTCCAACATGCTTTGATGGTTCCACAATACTATCTTGTTGCTGACTGCTCAATGTGGTTGATACCTCTGATTGAGTTCCAACATGTTTTGATGGTTCCACAATACTATCTTGTTGCTGACGGCTCAATATGGTTGATACCTCTGATTGAGTTCCAACATGCTTTGATGGTTCCACAATACAATCTTGTTGCTGACTGCTCAATGTGGTTGATACCTCTGATTGAGTTCCAACATGTTTTGATGGTTCCACAATACTATCTTGTTGCTGACTGCTCAATGTGGTTGATACCTCTGATTGAGTTCCAACATGTTTTGATGGTTCCACAATACTATCTTGTTGCTGACTGCTCAATGTGGTTGATACCTCTGATTGAGTTCCAACATGTTTTGATGGTTCCACAATACTATCTTGTTGCTGACTGCTCAATGTGGTTGATACCTCTGATTGAGTTCCAACATGTTTTGATGGTTCCACAATACTATCTTGTTGCTGACTGCTGAATATGGTTGATACCTCTGATTGAGTTCCAACATGTTTTGATGGTTCCACAATACTATCTTGTTGCTGACTCTGCTCAATGTGGTTGATACCTCTGATTGAGTTCCAACATGTTTTGATGGTTCCACAATACTATCTTGTTGCTGACTGCTCAATATGGTTGATACCTCTGATTGAGTTCCAACATGTTTTGATGGTTCCACAATACTATCTTGTTGCTGACTGCTCAATGTGGTTGATACCTCTGATTGAGTTCCAACATGTTTTGATGGTTCCACAATACTATCTTGTTGCTGACTGCTGAATATGGTTGATACCTCTGATTGAGTTCCAACATGTTTTGATGGTTCCACAATACTATCTTGTTGCTGATGGTTGATACCTCTGATTGAGTTCCAACATGTTTTGATGGTTCACAATACTATCTTGTTGCTGACTGCTGAATATGGTTGATACCTCTGATTGAGTTCCAACATGTTTTGATGGTTCCACAATACTATCTTGTTGCTGACTGCTCAATATGGTTGATACCTCTGATTGAGTTCCAACATGTTTTGATGGTTCCACAATACTATCTTGTTGCTGACGGCTCAATGTGGTTGATACCTCTGATTGAGTTCCAACATGTTTTGATGGTTCCAATACTATCTTGTTGCTGACAATGTGGTTGCTGATTGAGTTCCAACATGTTTTGATGGTTCCACAATACTATCTTGTTGCTGACTGCTCAATGTGGTTGATACCTCTGATTGAGTTCCAACATGTTTTGATGGTTCCACAATACTATCTTGTTGCTGACTGCTCAATATGGTTGATACCTCTGATTGAGTTCCAACATGTTTTGATGGTTCCACAATACTATCTTGTTGCTGACTGCTCAATGTGGTTGATACCTCTGATTGAGTTCCAACATGTTTTGATGGTTCCACAATACTATCTTGTTGCTGACTGCTGAATATGGTTGATACCTCTGATTGAGTTCCAACATGTTTTGATGGTTCCACAATACTATCTTGTTGCTGACTGCGGCTCAATGTGGTTGATACCTCCAACATGATTGAGTTCCACAACATGTTTTGATGATGGTTCCACAATACTATCTTGTTGCTGACTGCTGAATATGGTTGATACCTCTGATTGAGTTCCAACATGTTTTGATGGTTCCACAATACTATCTTGTTGCTGACTGCTCAATGTGGTTGATACCTCTGATTGAGTTCCAACATTTTTGATGGTTCCACAATACTATCTTGTTGCTGACTGCTGAATATGGTTGATACCTCTGATTGAGTTCCAACATGTTTTGATGGTTCCACAATACTATCTTGTTGCTGACTGCTGACTATGGCTGATTTGTGACTCCTAACTCCTAACGTTGTACATACTCCCTTACTATACATATCAAGATACTTAATCTCTGGCAATGTTATGTGAATTTATATTTCTCTGTTAACACTATTCAGAAGTCCTGGTGTATCCAGAATAACTGCTTTCTTATTTGGGTTCCAATTCTGTGGTTGAAATCTCCCCCTCTACTAAGGCATTTTGACAGCTTTCACCATTTGTGCTGATATTGATAAACAGCTTAAGAGCATAAAAGTTATCAGCTACTGTAATCTCATGTACCTCCCTTAACCAGACTATTTGTTAGAATATGAATCAATAGTGTGTATTGTATTGTCTTTGCAAATTGTCAGTGCTCCAACTCGTTCATCTACTCAACTTAACAATGATATCAAAATATGTGAAACTTTCTTTTCTTCTCGGAATGCTCTTATGTCAGATACAAATTAGTTAAGTACACCAGCACTTAAGTTTAATGTTAAATGTGTCTACAGTTATATGACTTTCAGTCCTTATCACATGGAGACTGCCACCATACAGCTGGAATATTGCTCCCTCACTATCACATGGAGCTTGTGTTACAAGATTCTAGAAGAAGGTGATGTGTTATAGGGATGATATGGAAGAGGAGGCTCCATCCAGCCCGGTTACCGCTGCTGGTGTGACTCCCAGCCCATGGTACCAACCACCTGCCATTTTACAGTACAGTGAAGCATTCAAACTCTACATCACCTGTTTACAGCATGTATGTGTTTTTAAGCTCACATTGACATTGTCACTTGGAACCTTTATTGTGGGTCTTTGTCCGTCATGTGTCTGTCATTGTAGCCATTAGTTGACACTGAAACATATAATAGTTTCTCCAGTTCTACAGAATGTAGTTTCCCTTCTATTAGTAATTATATTAAGCTTTACCTTCACACATAACATTCTCAATTAATTCTCTCATCCCTCTGTTCAGATATCCCATATTCCTGCCTCTGATTGTTGTAGTGCCAGCCATTTGTCACCACTTCCCCTTTTGTCGTAACCTGCAAGAGGACTCATCCCCTTTCCGTAAATGTTATGTTTGAAAATACCACAATGCTTAGGTTTGAGGTACACATCAAATATATTAAATCTATTTAAGAACAGGAATATGTGAGTGTTCGTAATGTATTATGATTGCAATTAAATAAGAATTGAGTTATTGTTTTTATTGTAAACAGTTCTGATGTTTATATGACTTCTGGATGGGCAGGAGTCGCTGTTAGGGTTGTCCCAGAATAACACTAGTTGGACACACTGATGTTGTGATCTCACTGATCAGTTCCCCTGGTTATGTTCCAGTTCCCAAGCTGGAAGGTTTCATTTGATCATTTCCTTTGATTATATTTGTACAGGTGTACAAACCTGTTGTTTCTCTATTTCTAGGAGTTGGACTGGCATGTCCTGAAGTGTGTTTTGGAATATCTGCCATTAGTCCTTCAGAATAAGACCCTAATTCTCACCACAACAGACAACATGGTGGCCACTCTCTGTCATCGTCTTTGTGCCATGGTAAGTAAGACCCCCATCTGACTAGCAGAGACAACATAGTGGCTAAGCTCTGTCATCTTTGTTGGTCAGTGTAGACCCTTGTCCCAACTCTCCAGACAAAAATGTGGCAATATTCTGTCATGATCTTTCATAGTAACAAGATGCTAACACACCCACCCAACCACAACAGACAACATGACAGCCATATTTTGTTGTGTTTATGTTGTCAGGTAAATGACAGATCTTTGGGGTTCCTTGAAAAGCTGCAGAGATTACCATCGAAACTGACCCGATCAGATTTCCATTCCTATGTGTTTCCAGTGCTGGCCACCATGGTCACCTACCATGATTACCTGGACAGAAATGGACAGGTAGGTCACAAACTACTTCATTAACTAGTCAATGGTTGTAAACAATTTTCCTGAGAGTGTTGTTAGGATGTTTTAGTATTGTGTATGGAATATGACTGGTGGCAGTAATCTACCAGGTGTGTTTTAGACAAATCACTGCCTGGTAAGTATGTATCAGTGGAGAAGCAACCTCAATGCTTGTCATGTTGAATGTGGAACAGAAAGAGCTGTTAAAGTGCCTGGAGTTTGGCCTGGTGTCCAAGTGTGCCAAGACATGTGTGAGTGCTTTGCGGATCTCTGCCCTTGAGATGCAGGAAGTGATGATGAGGTTGCTGCCCTCCGTGCTGCTGTCTCTCTCCAAGATCTCTGCCACAATGTCCATGGCCATTCCTGTCCTAGCTTTTCTATCAAGTAAGTCTTATATTTTCATTATCTGCAGTACTGGAACATGTTAAGGCAGAAATTATTTTCATCCCATCAACTATATTTAAGGCAATGCTTAAACAACAATATTTACACCTTACATGCAGTCTTTATTAATCCCTGCAAGAAGCTGGAGCATGTTCAAACCACCGTCTGGTGACATTGATAAAGAACGACTCAACTTGACTCCTACTATAACAGCAGTTTCTTCTGACCCTTCAACTTCAAGCCAAACATCCACATGAACATCGTGGCATTGTATCTGTCATAAATCTTTAAGCTTCTTGTCCAAACCAGCTGAAGCAAAATGGTAATTTTAGCAGCATTTTGTGTCTGATGTTTATTTGTTCTTGAGGTTGACAGACTAATGATACTGTGGATCCAGGGCACTCACTTCCATTTCATGATGAGAAAATCATAGGGATCACAGTTAGATTGTGATTTCTGTTCAAAGTAAAAACATAAATACAACATCAGTGTTAAACCCTTGAGTTTATGATTGTTACAGATATGTTTCTTTAATTTAGGTTTCTTCACTAATTTGTTCCCCTTTTTGATATAAAAAAAATAGACATATGGGACCCGTGAAGATCTGAGCGATTTGGACTTCAGAAACCCATGCTTGCCGTAAGCAGGGACTAACTGGAACGGATGTCAGGTTCACTGACTTGGTTGACTCATGTCATTGTATCCCAATTGTGTAGATCGATGCTCATGCTGTTGATCGCTGGATTGTCTGTTCCAGATTCCATTATTTACAGACTGCTGCCACATAGCTGGAATGTTGCTGAGTGCAGCAGTAAACAACAAACAGCATCTTCATGTCCACTTTAGTAAAGATGTTTCATAAAGTATGATGTAGTATGTTATGATATGGATGTTTCAGGCATTGTCAGGCTGCCCAATCTTTATGCCAACTTTGTTGAAGACCAGTACATGAGTGTATTTGCCATAGCTCTCCCCTACACAAACCCATTCAAGTAAGTAGTATGTTGAAAATTTGCATTTGCAAATGTTTCATAACTACTGAGATTTAAAGAGTGACTTCACTTGGCTCCCGACAGGATACACAACACCTAAATACCATGCATATATAAAAAATAATACAAAATGCATATTTGTGATAACTTTTTCAAATCTTTAACTCTAAAGAGGGATAAACGTGAGTTTGAAAATGCACAGGTATCCTCCAAATCAGCTGTGTGATGTCATTTTGGCTACCCTAGTAAACTTTATGACAAATTATATTGTTCTCTTTATTGGGTGATCTCTTTCAAATTATCTTCCCTTCACTTACCAGCTAATTAGATTAAACGGACAGTGCATGTTATATGCGAGCTGTATGTGTTACTCTATTACACTTCGAGACAATTAACCAGTATAGCCTTCACCTTTATCGGTAACGTTCAAGCAGGTGCATGGACAGTATATCTTTTCCCTTAAAGTTGATATATCTACTGTTATATCCTAAATGATTGCTTCCGTATTTCCATGATACATCAGGGATGACCATGACTGCTTACATTGCAATAACCAATCAGCTGATAGCCATACAAGGCGAAGCAGTGGGATCAGCTGATCATTCATTTCAGGCCATTTTGTTGATGTTTTGCAATTGGTTATTTAAGACTTGCACAAGAAGCTTGAATAACGTCTGACATATTAATTCCATAATGCTACAGTTGTCTTTGAGTGCTGAAAATCAGGACATAAAGCAAAGTTATATAGAAGATACAAAATTACAACATATCTTCTGTCAACATAATCTTACCAAAACAAGAACATATGTGTCATTTAATTCTATGTAAGTATCATACACATCCTCTGGGGCTGAAGAAATTGATCAATATTCAAGCATATAGTTGACTCACAGCACTCACTTTCATGAAGGATAAAATATTAGGGGTATTTTTGTTTTTCAAACTATGATGACTCGTATCTCTGCTGCAACCGACTGATTGCTTGGATGATAGGTGCATGATACTTAATATTCAGGAAATATATTGCCAGAATTTAAAAATGAAGTCAGATATATGAGGAGCTGCTGATCAAAACTCAACATTTATAACCAACTGTTAACTTCTGCACAGTATTTCCTCAATTATCAATAAAGTCACAAATGTAAAATAATTATGAATCAGCGATAAAGGTATGATATAGGATGTCCATTGGCTGCAGATGTAGGATTATTTCCCATAATATTACATAGAGGCCAGTGATAGTATGAGAATGATTTGTTATATTTGAATGTGACAATAGTTAAGGCTGAGTTGTGGCTGGAATTAAGGGCTGATACATACAGTGAGTGTTCATTATCTATTGCCCTTCCCAGGTTCAGCCACTACACAGTGTCCCTGGCTCACCATGTTATCGCCATCTGGTTTGTCCGTTGTCGCCTCCCATTCAGGAAAGGATTTGTCAAGTTCATACACAAGGTAAAGGACAGAATGCAAATTATTGCCTTTTGAGGAGTGAGTATGGTTTTATGGCGCTTTTAGCAATAATCCAGCAATAATCGTGCTTCACACATTGTACCCATGTAGGGAATCAAACACGGGTCTTCAAAGTGATGAGTGAACAGTTAAACAACTAGTCTACCCTACAGACCCTGTTGCCTTTTGACAGCTTGCACCCCTGAATGTCTCATACTAACAAAGATGAATGGCCTGGATTTCTGGCAGAGGTGTATAGCCTGGATGTCTGACAAAGGTGCATGGCCTGGATGACTGACAGAGGTGCATGGCCTGGATGTCTGACAGAGGTGCATGGCCTGGATGTCTGACAGAGGTGCATGGCCTGGATGACTGACAGAGGTGCATGGCCTGGATGTCTGACAGAGGTGCATAGCCTGGATGTCTGACAGAGGTGCATGGCCTGGATGTCTGACAGAGGTGCATGGCCTGGATGTCTGACAGAGGTGCATGGCCTGGATGACTGACAAAGGTGCATGGCCTTGATGACTGACAGAGGTGCATGGCCTGGATGTCTGACAGAGGTGCATGGCCTGGATGACTGACAGAGGTGCATGGCCTGGATGTCTGACAGAGGTGCATGGCCTGGAGCCTGGGTGCGCCTCACAGAGGTGCATGGCCTGGATGACTGCATGGCCTGGATGTCTGACAGAGGTGCATGGCCTGGATGTCTGACAGAGGTGCATGGCCTGGATGTCTGACAGAGGTGCATGGCCTGGATGTCTGACAGAGGTGCATGGCCTGGATGTCTGACAGAGGTGCATGGCCTGGATGTCTGACAGAGGTGCATGGCCTGGATGTCTGACAGAGGTGCATGGCCTGGATGTCTGACAGAGGTGCATGGCCTGGATGTCTGACAGAGGTGCATGGCCTGGATGTCTGCAGAGGCGTATGGCCTGGATGTGTCACAGAGGTGCATGGCCTGGATGTGTCACAGAGGTGCATGGCCTGGATGTCTGACAGAGGTGCATGGCCTGGATGTCTGACAGAGGTGCATGGCCTGGATGTGTCACAGAGGTGCATGGCCTGGATGTGGATGCATGGCCCTGACAGAGTGTGGCCTGACAGAGGTGCATAGCCTGGATGACTGACAGAGGTGCATAGCCTGGATGTCTGACAGAGGCCTGTATGCATGGCCTGGATGTGTCACAGAGGTGCATGGCCTGGATGTCTCACAGAGAGATGTCTGCATGGCCTGGATGGCCTGTGTCACAGAGGTGCATGGCCTGCATGTCTGACAGAGGTGCATGGCCTGGATGTCTGACAGAGGTGCATGGCCTGGATGTCTGACAGAGGTGCATGGCCTGGATGTCTCACAGAGGTGCATGGCCTGGATGACTGATGGCAGAGGTGCATGGCCTGGATGTCTGACAGAGGTGCATGGCCTGGATGTCTGACAGAGGGCATTATGGCCTGGATGTCTGACAGAGGTGCATGGCCTGGATGTCAGAGGTGCATGGCCTGGATGTCTGACAGAGTATGGCCTGGATGGCCTGGATGTCTGACAGAGGTGCATAGCCTGGATGTGACTGACAGAGGTGCATGGCCTGGATGACTGACAGAGGTGCATGGCCTGGATGACTGACAGAGGTGCATGGCCTGGATGTCTGACAGAGGTGCATGGCCTGGATGTCTGACAGAGGTGCATGGCCTGGATGACTGACAGAGGTGCATGGCCTGGATGACTGACAGAGGTGCATGGCCTGGATGTCTGACAGAGGTGCATGGCCTGGATGTCTGACAGAGGTGCATGGCCTGGATGTCTGACAGAGGTGCATGGCCTGGATGTGTCACAGAGGTGCATGGCCTGGATGTCTGACAGAGGTGCATGGCCTGGATGTCTGACAGAGGTGCATGGCCTGGATGTCTGACAGAGGCGTATGGCCTGGATGTCTCACAGAGGTGCATGGCCTGGATTTCTAGTTTCTCATGATGTAGGATGTCTTGTCTGTAGGGTAATGCTTCATGGTGTTCTTCAGGGCTTGAGGGCTAATGTGCTGCAGCAGTTTGAGGAGAACTCTGTGCACAACCTCCAGAATCAGGACAACAGGAATCAGGACTCAACAAATCGTATCCGCAGTGGCTCATACAGTGAAGGGGGACGGGTCAGGTATGTCTGTTCACCTGTTGGAGGGAGTTCCATGCCTGAAGTGAGATACATATATAGACGTATCAGGTCAGATACATCTACATACATACATGAAGGAGGTCAGGTCAGATACATCTACATACATACATGAAGGCGGTCAGGTCAGATACATCTACATACATACATGAAGGAGGTCAGGTCAGATACATCTACATACATACATGAAGGAGGTCAGGTCAGATACATAATTATAGTATGGTTGTTGATCAGATATGTGTTCTATGAACAGACTCGTCAACTATATTTTCCTCACACCTCCATCAATCACCATTTGAGGTCCCACCATTCAGATAGTATGTGTCACTACAGCAGCACTGATGAAATATGTCGAGATATTTTGTGAAACATTTGCTGTTATGTCTTCCTGTATGAATCGCAGACGCAGAATGGTGTCTGGATCTGCTGTGACAAAACGAGACCCACCACCTGTAGATGAGAAAATGACTCTCTTCCATCGGGAACTAACTGAGACATGCACTGATGTCATGGCCAGATATACTTTTGCCAACTTTGCAGCAGTACCACACAGGTGAGTCTGAAGTAATGTTAAGGATTTTAGTGTCAGCAGTTCCAGACAGATGAGTCTGAAGTAATGTTAAGGATTTTAGAGTCAGCAGTACCACACAGGTGAATCTGAAGTAATGTTAAGGATTTTAGTGTCAGCAGTACCACACAGGTGAGTCTGAAGTAATGTTAAGGATTTTAGTGTCAGCAGTACCACACAGGTGAGTCTGAAGTAATGTTAAGGATTTTAGAGTCAGCAGTACCACACAGGTGAATCTGAAGTAATGTTAAGGATTTTAGTGTCAGCGGTACCACACAGGTGAGCCTACAAACACACCCATACTAAACAAGGACCACACAGGTGAGTTCACAGGTGCACAAGAACATCTCTCTTGTAACACAACTTCACAGGTAAGTAAACTTGCAAGAGAACATCTTTAAATGTAGAAGTGGGTCCAGGTGCACAACATTTTAGTTGACTCAGTATTTCACAGGTCAGTCTTCAGGTACACAAGACTGTCTGTCATTATGAAAGGTCATGTGATCAGAGAACCCTCACTTAAATGTATGTATGAATTTGATATTACATAGATTTATTGTTTCTTGACACACTATCTGTCCCATATGGAACATAAACCCCTGTTAAAATGTATCTGTTTCTATTCAAGAATAAGAATGTTTTGAGTGTGATGTGATATGATATTTTCTCACTAGGTCTCAGCTGGTACAGTTCTTACTCTCTGGAACACAGAATCAAACATGGCTGCTTGGTAACAAAATCATCACCATAACAACAAGTGGGAGTGGCATTAAGGCTGCCAATGCCGGCGTATGTGAGAAATGTATTATGTTGTATCATGAAGCACAAGAAGCTAGAAAGCCGTTGGTGAAGAGAGAGCGTCGCAGACACAAGTCTGCTGCCTGTCTAAGCCGCAGTCAGAGTCAGGTGGAGCCTGCCTCCTCCCCTTGTGCTGATGATAGTGCTGTGCTTCAGACCAAGTGGTCACATGATGATCTCAGTGTCACACGGGGCAGTGACGATGTCGGAGTCCAAACTGGTAGCTCCCTGTCAGGGGACTCTCTGGACTCTTATCTTTTTTGGTGAGTTCAGGAGGTTTACAAAATCCCTCATTCGTTTTCAGAGAGATCGTCCTTGGGGTACATATATGCATTTTCTGCGGCTGAAAATGTCCTGTGACAGTTGTATCAATGTTTTAATAAAAATATTGTACAATAAATACAATTTTTTTTATCTATTATACGGCCCCCACCACGTGGAGGTACCTCCCTGCTACACATGCGCAGCCAACCAGGTAAGCACCTAGGCCCGTATCATCATTCCTTCTGCTGTCACTCTACCGTTCAGACGTGTAGAGTTGCCTTGCTGAATATCTTGTTTCTAAAGAGAATAATGTCTGAGACTTCACCTGTATGTATGGTCTTTATTTGTTCTTGATGGAACAGTTTAATAAGACTTAAGCAGTCTGTTATTTCTCATTTTTGTGACTTTGTATTTAACTTTACGCTATCTTTCCCGTGGTTTACGCACGTGTTGCTTTTCCATGGTGGGAAGTTTAGCGTGCCACGTGGTTGTCATATTGCGTTATTAACCAAGTATTTTCAATGTTTTGTACATGTATATTTATGCTGCTGGTTCCGCTGTTAGCTACATGCTTGCGTGTTTGCTTTCAGGCGTTTACTGGGTGTTCTGTCTGCGGGCAGAACATTCCACGAGCCGATAAGCACGATAAGTGCTTGTGCTGCCTTGAGAAGGTGGGACACAACTCCGATGTTTGTGAGCTTTGTATGGCCTTTTCTCCCCGGGCCCAGAAACGAAGGGCCGCGGATTTCCCGTTCTACAAGGAATTGTGAGAGGCGGGAGGGGAACTTACCCAGGAGGTTCCCCCGTCTAAAGCCAAAAAGTCCAAACCGACTAAAAAACATAAGTCGCATAAGGCGGCCTCCCCAGTCATCCCACAGTGGTTTTGATATGTCACTAATAACCCAACTTTTCCAGCAGCATATGGACTCCGTGAAGTCCCTTGTTCACGGTCGGTTGGAGGTCTCCGTCAGGAGTTCCTCGCCCACTCTGAGCAGGAGACGGAGAGTCTGGGGGTGGGATTGCCGAGCCTGGCTCGATACCTTAGCCTGAAGGTGTCTGTCGATCCTTTGCCTCTGGCTTCGGGTCCAGACGCCTCGGCTTTTCCGGAGGGGGAGGGTTCGCTCCCATTCCCCCTCTCGGTGCTGGCGCAGGGTCTGTTGAGGATTCCTGGGGTTCCGTTCCCTGCGCTGCCCTGCCCCATGAGAGCGGAGGAGTCGGTTCTGCCCGGTCTTCCTCCCGTGTCTCGGGACTGGGGTTCGAGTGGTGTGTCGGTTCCGGAGCGGGGAGTTCCTTCGGCTCTTCCCTTTCCTCGGTGTCTGGGGCTCGGCTTCCGACCGGGTCGGGGTTCGGATCCTCTTCACGAGGAGACCTGGTTTCTGACTCGGGCTCGGGTGCCGAGTCTATGGACGTTTGGGAGGTCGAGGAGCCGGAGGGCACTTTTCGCTTCTCGTCGGCTTACCGGACTTATGAGGAAGTCTATCGGAATGCCATGCAGCAGGTGCGGGTGGTGATCCATGAGGCCTACCTTTCCTCTATCCAAAGGTCGGCTCTGGAGGCTGAAGGGAGCACTGGGGACGTGTCCCCGCATGTTGTTCTGCTTCGCCAGTTGTCCGAAGTGCAGGCCCACCTAGCGCGCGACTCTTTGCGGTCTGCGGCATCTATGGTGATGTGCGCAGTCATGGGGATGCGCAAGCTGTGGCTGTCGACGTCCCGCTACTCAGCAGCGACACAGCAGACCTTGCTAGCCCTTCCGTTCCGTCTGGGAGCGACGTTGTTTCCGGGGGCTCAGCAGGTCATTCGGGAGGCTGCTGCTGCAGCTACCTCCTTCAAGGACTCTAAGGCCTTGTTGGAGCATCCACGGGCTTCTCCCCCCCGCGCGCTCCCGTAGCGGTTTCCTCCTCTGGGGTGCAGCCTACACCCGAGCTGCTGGGCAGGGGTAGGAGGAGGAGCCGTCCCGCCAAAGGTAAGGGCAAGGAGCAGTCCTCTTCGTCTGGCTCCCATCAGCCTTTTTGCGGGCGCAGGAGGTCTGCCCCGACCTCCTGTTAACCCAGCAGGCTGTCGCCGTGGGTCCATCCCAGTCAGTTCGTCTGCAAGGGACCACTCACGCTCTCTTACCACACATCCCAGTGGGGGGCCGCCTCTCTCTATTCCTGCCGGAGAGGCAGAAGACTACCAGCAACACTTGGGTGCTTTCCACCGTCAGTGTCGGCCATCTACCACTGTGGAAGTGAGGCCCGCCAGATTTCACTGGCATACGTCGCACTCCGGTGCCGTCTTGTCCGGTCAGGGCGGGTATACTGCGCGGCGAAGTTCAGGCTTAGCTGGACAAGTCCGCAATAGAGCGCATACCACCGGGCGAGGAACAGGCGGGATTTTATTCCACGTACTTCCTCGTTCCGAAGAAGAACGGCAGGTTCCGTCCCATTCTCAACCTCAAGGGGTTGAATCGCATGCTAGAGGTTCCATCCTTCAAGATGGAAACACTTCGCTCTGTGATCTCCTCTGTTCAGCCCGGCGTTGGCTTACGTCGATAGATCTAAAGGATGCATATCTACATGTGCCAATTCATTCATCATTCAAGCAGTACCTCCAGTTCTCTTACGATGGGATGGGTTACCAATTCACTGTGCTCCCCTTCGGCATATCCACTGCCCCCAGGGTGTTCACGAAGCTCATGTTAGTGCCAGCTACCCTCGCAAGGTCACAAGGAAGGCGTTGTTACCCTTACCTCGACGACTGGTTCCTCAGCCAGCGAGCCTAGATTCTACCCACACGGTGATAGACATTCTAGTTCGACTGGGGTGGATCATAAACCTCAAGAAATCCGACCTGGTACCCACCCAGGACTTGTTTTTCTCGGGGCGTGGTTCCAAACTCACAAAGATCTTGTCACCAGAGTACGGGAGATGGTGTCTTCGTTCCTCTCCCAGCCCCAGGCACCAGCGCGGACTTGGCTCCGTCTACTGGGTCATATGGCAGCGACTATCTCTGTAGTGGTTGAGGATGCACCCGATACAGCAAGCTTTGGCGAGTCTGTGGGCTCACTCGGAGGATCTGGAGAAGTGTCTCACAGTTCCCAGGTGGTTGTCTCCTCACCTTCAGTGGTGGACCAATGTCGGGAATCTCACCAAGGGGATCCCTTTGGAAATCCCGACGCCAGCTCTTACAGTTCAAACCGATGCATCCCTCACGGGCTGGGGGGTGTTCTGGGCAGTCTGTCGGTGTCCGGACTCAACGTCTTGGAACTGAGAGCTGTGCAGTTGGTTTTCGAGCGCTTCCAGGAGCATGTTCAGGGCCAGGTGGTTCGTCTTCAGTTGGACAACCGTACAGCCATGACGTACATCCTGAAGCAAGGGGGCACGGTGTCCATAGAGCTCCTTCGGGAGACGTGGGAATTTCTCCTCTGGTGCGACCAGTGCGACTGTCAGGTGCTTCCTGTTTATCTGGAGAACGTGCGAGCAGACGCTCTCTCTCGCCGGATCCTGGCCCCGCACGAGTGGATGCTCGACCGGCAGATATTTCGAGTTATCTACCAGTTGTACGTATCATTCCAGGTGGATCTGTTTGCGTCCGGCAGGACGAATCAGATACCTGTGTTCTGCTCTCGAATACCGGACCAGAGGATTCAGTGGGTGGCTTGGACTCAGGTCTAGCCTTGAAGCACGCGGAATTCCTGCAGCAGTTGCAGACACAATTCTGGCTTCGAGGCGGGATTCGACAAACATTCAATATGAGGATAGGTGGTCCCGCTATGCGCGCTGGTGTTCAGATAAGGGCATTGCAGATCCCTTTTCTGCGGATTTAGTCCGAGTACTGGATTTTTTTGCAAGCTCGTTTGGAGGAAGGCTTGGCGGCTTCGACCATTCATGGCTACTCCACCGCTATTTCCACTGTTCACACCCCTGTCGATGGTGCTCTTCTAGCTTTTTAGCTGGCGTGGATCGGGTTCGACCTGCTGTCAGGCGAACCAGCCCACCTTGGGATTTGTCAATTGTGCTAGATTGGCTGTCCAGTCCTACCTTCTCACGTCTTTCGGCTATTTCCATTCAGTTGTTAACATTGAAGGCTGTATTTCTGGTGGCGGTCGTAGGGTCGGCGACTTACATGCTATGTCGGCAGACCCGGCGCTGACTGTGTTCCATCCAGATCGTGTCAGTATTCGCCTCCCGGATACTTACCGCCCGAAGGTCGATCACGCTTTCCATGTGACAGCTCCTATCGAACTTCCTACTCTTACCCAGCCTTCCACATCGGGGACCTCTGCAACGGGCACTCACCCGTTCGATGTCCAAAAGACTCTCAAGGTCTATATCAAACGAACACAGGGAATCCGTATGGGTACCCATCTGTTCTGCTGTTACGGTGGCAGGAAGGCTGGGGTGCCGGCGAGCAAACAGACCCTGTCTCGCTGGCTTGTATCGGTCATTTGTGCTGAGGGGTTGAAGGCTCACTCGGTCAGGGCAGTAGCCACGTCAAAGGCTTTTGCATCGGCACTACCCATTGAAGAGCTATGCTCTGCCGCTATTTGGAGTAGGCCTAGCACTTTTATCAGGCACTATCAGCTCGATACACATTCACTTGATCGTGCACGTTTTGGCCATTCTGTTCTCTCCAGTGGACAGTGTCCTGCCACCCTGACCGAGTGAGTCTGGGTTATCCGGTTAGTTGACGCTGCTTTCATTTGTGTTTTATTGATATATCCGCTGTTGTGTGATCTAACTCCTTTCGATTCTCTCCGGAGATTATGGTTGGTTGTGAGTTGGTTTTTCCCCCTTACGGTGCTCTCTAATAGATCATGATGTGGGCGGGGTTTTTTATTTTCACACTGTGTGCGAATTGCTATGCTTAACCTGTGAGGTCAGACCTAAGTACTTATCCTCCCTGTCGGTTACCCTCCCATAATGCCTCTCGCGGATGCTTCGGGACACGTGACTGGTGAGTGTTGTTCCTAAGGCGTCTGTTACATTCTTCCTAATGATCGCTATTCATGTGTACTTTGACAGAATTCCCTCCTCCCTGGCCTCCGGTCTTTTGGAGTCTGAGTCGATGCATATATGTACCCCAAGGACGATCTCTCTGAAAAAAAATTAACTAAACCTGCAGAGGTTTCCAATTCTTTGAAGAGAGTCGTCCTTGGGGTAGGGCCGCCCACCTCCCCGCAATTCTGTTCACTGATTTATTCAGCAGAAGGAATGATGATACGGGCCTAGGTGCTTACCTGGTTGGCTGAGCATGCGTAGCAGGGAGGTAACTCCACGTGGTGGGGGCCGTATAATAGATATAAAGATTTTTATTTATTGTACAATATTTTTATTAAAACATTGATACAACTGTCACAGGACATTTTCAGCCGCAGAAAATGCATAAATGTACCCCAAGGACGACTCTCTTTAAAGAATTGTAAACCTCTGCAGGTTTGTTTAAATTTATGTGTTATTTAAGAGTTGAAACAAGTATACTCACTATGAACAGTATTTGGGCAAACTTGAGTCAAATGATAGTTGATAGCTTGAAATGATCAACTAATAAAGGTACCAATTAGTGACAGAGGTAGATATTTGATACAGTAATGACTGGAAACAGAAGGCATTTATTAAGAGAATAAAAAAAAAATACAAAATCCCAAAACACCTTGTCAATAGCAAACCAGAGAATTTGATGACCTAAGATGAAAATGACTTTAAAAGAATATATCTGTATATGTTCAAATTAAAAAGTATCTCATTGTTTCCTTGATGTTAGCATTGCAAAACTGTAATATGCAGGTTCAAAAAGTGAGCCGGAAGAGAAGCCCTTCTGCCCCGAGTCTGCTTCCCTGTACCTGCTGGTGCATTGGTTGGGCAGAAGTCAACATCCGTGGGCCCAGTGGCAATGTCTCATGGGTCATGAGGATTGAGAATGAGATCAGCTCCAGTGCTGCAAGCCGTGAGGTTTCCTTACAGGACATCACAATGTTGTTTAAACCTATGCCAGAGGAGTGGCATGGCAACAAAAAAGGAGGCCGAAAAATTGATAGTGAGAGTCTTGGAGAAGAGGAATATGAATCTCTCTACTCCAAACACTTCTCAGGTCAGTCCTAAATCCGCAAGCACTTCTCACAGCAAATCTGTATGTGTGCTCTAACACCATCCCGCCATCAATATTAAATTTTCTCAAACCACTGCCACAACACAAACCAGTTTTATGCGCCTATACTCACACAATCCATTTCTCCACATTACAACACACTTCAACACATCACAGACATGTTCTACACACTTCAACACACCACAGACCTGTTCTACACACTTCAACACGCCACAGACCTGTTCTATACACTTCACCACACCACAAACCTGTTCTACACACTTCAACACACCACAGACCTGTTCTACACACTTCAACACACCACAAACCTGTTCTACACACTTCAACATGCCACAGACCTGTTCTACACACTTCAACACACCACAGACCTGTTCTACACACTTCAACACACCACAGACCTGTTCTATACCCTTCAACACATCACAAACCTGTTCTAGTACAAGGAGCCGCACATACACATACACACGCATGCACGTCGTCATATGAGCGAAATATTCTCAAGCACGACGTTAAACCCAATTTCACAACAGACCTGTTCTACACACTTCAACACACCACAAACCTGTTCTACACACTTCAACACACCACAGACCTGTTCTACACACTTCAACACACAACAGACCTGTTCTACACACTTCAACACATCACAGACCTGTTAAAAGCACTTCAACACACCATGGACCTGTTAAAAACACTTTTAAGATATAGTCAAGATAATTCTTGTGAAGATGCCAAGTGCATCACGTCTTGTACTCTCTCTTATGATCGACGGTTGAGTGGAAATGAACTGTAAACAAAGTTTTGGGCCTCTCTAGAACCCTTCACCAAAACACTCTGGCAGTTCCTGTGAAGCATGCAACCTGTCCTTTGATTGATCATGTGATCCCTTTGTGTAGTCATTCTCTTTCTTGTCTATAAACTGACTTAGATAACCTTTAACATCATGGGGAAAGAAGATTCAACGTCAAGGAAAAGAAAAGTTTGTGTGGATACACATACAATGCATTGGTCTTTTGCGTTTGAAGAATAGAAGAGGAAGATCGGGTGCAGCCTATGCAGGCTCTACTTCAGCTGAGATCGAAGAAAGAAAGAATTTAAGACAACTATTTCATCCTGCGGAGGCCTTCAGTGGTTCGCGGAACACCACACCACCGAACCCACCACTCACTGAACCCTCATGATTTGTTGAACCAGCTAGATTCGGCAATCCCTTGGGTATCGCTGTGTCCAATTCCAGACCAAACTTGGCTACTGCATCTCTTCGCAAGTGGTGGTCGTTCATCGTTCACCAATCCAGCCAGGATCAGTGATCCCTCATACTGTGTAGACCTCTCACACACTGGGCGATCCCTCCGGACATCTCCAGACATTTGACAATCTTGTCTACTTCGGTGATCCTTTGGGATTCGGTGAACCAACCAGGATCAGCGACCCCTCATACTGTCATGATCTCTCATATCTCCAGACATCCCCAGACGTTCAGTGTTCCCTTCGCTTTCAGTTCAACCATCCTTGACGATTACGACCCAGTCCTCAGCTGCACCACTGGCTAGCGATTACGACTTTCCTTCTGAGAACCGACTGTTCACTAGTACACGTTCAACGAACCCCTTTATCGGCCACTGCGTCTCAGCCTTCGAACTTGCGTTAGGTTCGGTGAACCTGTCTGCTTCAACGATCCCTAAAGAATCAGCAATCCCACACATCTCTACCTATTCGACGCAGGCTACTAGAATGAGCAGTCAAACCTACCTGTCTCTTGGGATAATTCCAACTTCAAATGCGAGTCATGTCGACGGCTTTGAAGCAAGAACAGCAACCAGATACGCTTAAGAATCAGGGTCCTCAAGTCCTACCTCAGTGTTCACCGATCTCAGTCAACGCTTGCCGAACCTCCTCTCCTTCTCCCACGTATTCGGAGGACCTGTCTACGCCTGAGGGTAGCATCGAACTTGTATATACGACGCACATGCTAGCATGGATAGCAGACATCTACAATTGTCTAAAAAGCAAGACCCCAGGCGATCTGCTATCTAGACTTTTCTAGGCTCACATTCGGCGAACGCTAATGAATCAGCTACTGGACATCATCTATACTTTTGCAACAGATTGGGATCTGGTACATTTGGATACAGTGATCTGGAGACCTAACCCACTAAATCAAACCTCATGGGATGACCGCTACAGAGTAGACCTGCTTCGCAAACCATGATTGAGTCCTTACCTAGTCAACGGGATCATCCGTGATTTTTCTACCAAAATGTGGAGCTAAATACTCAGTTCCAAGTATCAGTTGAACTTCTGAAACTACAGAAGATGCAAATACAAGAGTCCATTCGACGCAGTCATATGGTGCAGTCGGAGCAGAACTTTTTTTGAAACAACCCAGATCCACATCCCATGGTAGAGGTGCGCAGAAGTCGGACGCAACTCGTGGAGATGGATCCGGTAAGCTATGACTGTCAGAGACATTTGCGTGACTGGGACCCTCTACCCCTACTTGTCCCGATCGAAGATTCACCAGTTGGCAGAAGAATTGGTACATATGCCCGCAACTGGACCCTTTTGGAAGACCCCTTTGTCGTATCTACACTCAGCTAAGGCTACAAACTACGGATCATAGGATCTACACTGCTGATGAGCAATCCGGTTCAGCGAACCTACCCCTCGGTGCAGATACAAGCTCTACAAATCATTACTAATGGAGGGTCCTCCCATTTGGCATTTCTACGTCCCATGGCTATTAACTGACATCATGAAACACATCACTGAGTTTCTGCATGGAAGAGGCATTGTGTTCGAGGCTTACATTGATGATTGTGTACATGCTCCAAGAGATATTGTATACATGCTCCAAGAGATCGACACATCCTCCTACAACATCTACAATTTCACCACCAGCAAGAGTAGATTCTCAACATCAAGAAGTCAGAGCTGATTCCAACTTCATTCGCGCGTAATGAGTTAACCATCTATTGCACCAAATATCCTGGAGGTCAACCTGATAATACACCCGGTGACGTCATACTGGGAGTTGACTGGAGATAGTGATTCGGAACTCGGTAGACGACCACGATGGCTACCATACAGTTCACTGTATTATCACATGAAAAAGAATTTGTGTGTGAAGTTTCGACTACATATTCGACAGAATGCAATGCCTGCGCACTGGATCTATCACATCAACAGGGGACTACTACATTCTGCGAAATAACAAAGAGGGCGGTGAAGTGCCAGGCAGCATTAAAGGATTATAGTGAGACAGCGATCACACTTTAGTGCAACAATTGCCCTACCCAACCATGGTCGATCCACACTCAGATCAACTACACTGGTGCCCGCAGACACTACATCTTCATGTTTGGCGCATCTACTGAAATCATTAATCACCAAAGGGTACCCCAGAAGATTTGCAGCTGCAATTACTTCGGCTCATCGGATTTTCACTCGATCTCATTACGATGACAAGTGGAGGAAGTTTGAAGACTACTGCAGATTGAAAGGCATACTATCTCCTCACAGCATCTGCCTAGGCTGTTGCTGAATATTTACATCTGCTTATGTGTAGAAAATTGAAGGCGTCTACCCTTGCTACTCATTTAGCAGCTATCAACACAGAGATAGCTATGGCGACAAGATTCTACAGTGCCTGAACTCCAGTCCATACTGTGCACATACAAGTTATCTGACAATCGAAGAGGTTCCGACCAGTTCAGCTGCCAGGGCAGCCAGATAGACTCTTCACTCTTCCACTGTTGTCCACCATCCTCAGGCCTGACGACACAGAAGATCTCGCGCTGAAGATTTACATCGCTGCCTCGCAAGACCGTCGCAGGTTGCATAAGCGCCTGTTCATCCCGCTCTCAACAGCCTCTTCAGTGGCAGTCTCTTGTACTATCCTGCAAGCCTACACCTTCACCGGTCTTCCCCCTCCAGCTTCATTGAATCCTCATGAGACTTGGGCCTTAGCATCAACTTGGGCTCTTCACAGCAACTGTTCGCTGACATCCATTACAGAGGAATGTTTATGGAGATCAGAGATGGTCCCCCCACTACCTGCGTGACCTCTCAGTGACTGATGTAGAAGGACTGTGGTACTGGCGTAGCAACTGTCCTCAGCCCAACAACGCAGATAGTGACATCATCCGTCCGCAGAATCGGTGTTACCTTGTATAAAGTAAATATAGATGTATGGAACTCCATTATTCATCTTCGTTCTACTTTCCTTGGGCATAGATCTACCTCACCTGACCCCACACCAGGGCATTGCAGTACAGTCACTGTTAAGCGACTTCATCATAGACTGAGAGGCCAGCTTTGTACTATGATGCATAGGTGATCGACACTCGTACTCACTGACCTCTACTCTTCCAGCAATCACGTCAGTGAAGTATGAATATGGAATTCCAGTAGATTTCGTTGCATTCAGCCCCTGGTTGCCAGACACATCTTGGGCTAAGCTTAAGCAAAGGAGTGAGGGTCATTCGATGTTGTCCGGAACTGAACGTTAAACAGTTGAGTTAAATGATCCATTTTCCCTTTCATCTTTATGTGTGACTGTGGGGATGGTTTCGAAGCAGGGGCTTTCTGGAAGTCGGAGTGAGGCAGGGAAAACTGATTAGCTCCGCATTTGTCTCTGACAAATGTACAGCAGAAAACCACATTTACTCGGGTGTGCCCACTCCTTGGGACTTTTTGTGCCAAGGGGTTTTGAAGAAGCAACCCATCACAAGAATAGGAGATTGTACTCATAACAGGCCTCCTTGTGCATCATCATCACATCACCACGGTTGTCATCCACTAATAGACAGGGTAATCTGTGGCCCACGGTCTAACTGTGGGATAACTACAAGACGTGAGATAGGATAAGTTTGATAAAATTTGAAAATGTTAACTATAAATTATTTATGATACTTATCCTATCTCACACGATGGATTCCTGCCCAACCAAACCCAGCTGCACAGATTACAATTATTCCCCCAAGAAGAGAAGACTACACAAAGGGATCACATGATCAATCACAGGACAGGTTGCATGCTTCGCAGGAGCTGCCAGACTGTCCAGGAATGGGAGCAGTAGGGGTGTGTTCGGTCGAAGGGTTGAAGAGAGGCCCAAAACTTTGTTTGCACTCAAATGTCACTCATAAGCAAGTGATTACAAGACATGAAATTGAATAAGTATTATAATTTATAGTTAAAGGTTTGTTTCAATTATGTTAATATGCAAAGTACTGACTATGGTTGATCTGACATGTTTCAGCTTACCTTGATGACAGCAGCATGTTGCAGCCTGCTGGATCTCCACAGGTAACAGTTCTGGAGAATCAGTATACAGTCTATCCAACATAAGCAGTGTTAGGGACAAAGGGGCTATCACACATCTGGGTTTTGGGATGGTAAATACCCTGTATTAGAAATAAACACTGTATTAAGCGGGCCACAGCTTACACTCCAGCAGTGTTGACAAGTCATGGAGGCAGCCCTTGCATGTATTTACTGATGATCAAGCACCTGTTTGGTAGGCAAATGTACTGACTCTCAATCAGCTCCAAACCATCTTGGAATTTTTTTTAATTCATCACTGTCAGGAAATGTCAAAGGAGACTATTCCTGAAGTTTAGACAATCAGTTCGTGCTTAGACTCTTTCAGCAACCCTTGTATTTTTCCGTACTCTTTAACTATGCAAATCATGCAGACTTGCTGATGAGTGGAGAGGGAGAAGAAGAGACAACTGATTCAGTCCCAGCAACCCAGATCCGACGCCATTGGATCTATGTGACTGAGAACTTCAGTTCCCCAGTAGAGTTGCTAACAAATGGACCACTATGGACGACTCATTTGTAATCAACTATATGCTGTCTCTCTGCTGGCTCTGGTACCTTAGTACACTGTAAGACAAATGAGTGACAGAATAGCCAGGCCCTGATCCTCTAACACAGGGCATCTACTCACCAATATCTCATTTTCATGCTCAAGGAAGACCCTGAAAACTGTGCGATGTTCAACATGAATGTTTTCAATGTGCAGTCTCTATAGACACCACCTCAGGATGTTCTCTCTCAGCCTTCTGTGAAAGCACTTCACTCTAGGGGAATTCATGGTATCACTCTATGATACATTCTGTTCTCAGGCACTATCTCCTATTAATCTTTCAAGGTCTACACAACCTGTGGTAAGTCATGACATTTGAGATTTCCATGGCACAACATAACAAAACCTATCAAACATGTTTTTCATCAAAGGGAAATCATATTTGGGCTTTACATCAAGCTCCCATACCCCCAGCATTCTCATCAGACCAGCTGACCCAGACAAGAATGTTGCTACTGTCAAGTCGGAGAACATCCTCTCCAATTGTCTCCAGCAACCATTACAGCTATCTTTAACTCATGCCAAGGCAGGATCTTTGTAGCCACACTGTCATCATCTGCAGCCCAACAGTCCAACAATCCATGTCTGGGCATTAGGAATCTTCAGCTATCTCTGTAGTAGCTTTGAGCTACTGAAAATGAGTGGCATAGGTTATCACAGTGCATTGAACCACAGGCAAATTGTAGCACAAATAGGGTTGTGCTACAAAGAGAAAATGACCAGTCTTCCCATATGCGCGCGAAGCGAGCAAAGGTTGGCAATGTGCTTCCCTCACTTCGGTTCGAAAAATATTTTTAATATCAAGATAAAATATCGCCATCATCAAAGATAGACACCCATTTCCTCACAGAGTTGTGCTCTGAGATTTCTAACCTCATATTTAATAATTACTCACGTACAATATATTTAATTCAACATTTTAAGCGCAACTTGTGGCATGTCAAATCGTTCTTCGCCTCCATTACCCCTGCCAGCATCCGGTTCAACGGAGTGAAGGAACAAAAATTAGTAGAAATCAAACACAAATATTATATTGCATAATTTTACCGTTAAACTTTTGGGGATTATTTTGTTATCTGCCGTCGCCATTGTTAGAATTTTCGTAACATTTATTCTACTACTGGCATAGCGGGTAAATAAAAGCATATTCAAATTTAACTCCACTGTTCCTTCATTCCGTTGAACCGGAAGCTGGCAGGGGTAATGGAGGCGAAGAACGATTTGACATGCCATACGAGTGGCGTTTAAAATGTTGAATTAAATATATTGTACGTGAGTAATTATTAAATATGAGGTTGGAAATCTGAGAGCACAACTCTGTGAAGTAATGGGTGTCGACCTTTGATGATGGCGATATTTTATTTTGATATTAAAAATATTTTTCGAACCAAAGTGAGGGAAGCACGTTGACAACCTAGGCTCGCTTCGCTCGCATATTTGAAGACTGGTCTTTTTCCTCTTTGTTGAGCAACCCTATTTGCGCTACAATTTGCCTGTGATTGAACCAGAACAAATGGAAGGGATTCAAAAGCTATTGTTCAACCGGGATGATTTTTCACAAGTGGTTGAATATCTCCAAGACCTGAGGATCACAAGTGAAGCTGAAGGGATTCACACTCACCACATATTTGTTTGCCGTCATCTGTACTGTCATCTCCCCAGACAAGCAGCAAGATCCAAGAAACCACCAGCCTGGGTTCTGAATGTCAAACTACAGCATTTTGCTTTTGAGGACTATGAACCTTTCCAGAATCAGGATGACTATAGAGGCTGTCTCTAACCACAGCACTTTTGTCTGATGAACATGTACCCCAACACACACAGTACCCTAATTTGTCTTCACTAAGCTGAGAATAATGAGAGATCACTTCAATATCACGTAGACGAAGGTAGGGCTGGGACGGGTACTTGAATCTGGGTCGGGTACAGCTGGAATCGAGTCCTATTTCTAGGAATCGAGTACCCGGAAAAGGAGAGAACTCTGTAATGGCAAGGGCAGACAATAACTTGTCTTTTTCATTATTGACGTAACACACATTTGCATCTTTGGCATTGTCTGATTAATGGAGGTTATTATTAACGACTGTAATATATCTGAGCATGAGCAGTGAGGAGTCAAGTTACAGTGTCAATGGTGTTACTCTCTATATTGGTTAAACAGACGTAAACTAAATAGCCTATGTTCAGTTTCAGTGTCTTATTGACATCATTTCAAGTTTTTCTATTAAAATCTCCGTCAACTCGTGATTGGAGATTCAGAAAGTTGACAGAAGCGCTTTATTCCTTACATCTCTGGGTACTCGATTCCGATTCGGGTAAGTACATGAGAGCAATAGATTCCATTTTTTCCTACCCGTCCCAGCCCTAGATGAAGGCACTGTCTAAAGGAAATGGGGTGGCAAAAATGACCTTTTGAGCATTTGCACTGGTGGTGGGATCAGGACTGTTGTTTGCTGCTTCTTGTCCCAACAGTTGAAAAGCAGGGGAGATATCGTGGTCAGCATGTAAGTCAGTCCATCCATCCGTCCGCTGTCTGTTGTGTTGCTTCTTGTCCCAACAGTTGAAAAGCAGGGGAGATACCGTGGTCAGCATGTAAGTCAGTCCATCCATCTGTCTGTTGTGTTGCTTCTTGTCCCAACAGTTGAAAAGCAGGGGAGATACCGTGATCAGCATGTAAGTCAGTCCATCCATCTGTCTGTTGTGTTGCTTCTTGTCCCAACAGTTGAAAAGCAGGGGAGATATCGTGGTCAGCATGTAAGTCAGTCCATCCATCTGTCTGCTGTCTGTTGTGTTGCTTCTTGTCCCAACAGTTGAAAAGCAGGGGAGATATCGTGATCAGCATGTAAGTCAGTCCATCCATCCATCCATCCGTCCGCTGTCTGTTGTGTTGCTTCTTGTCCCAACAGTTGAAAAGCAGGGGAGATATCGTGATCAGCATGTAAGTCAGTCCATCCATCTGTCTGCTGTCTGCCGTGTTGCTTTTTGTCCCAACAGTTGAAAAGCAGGGGAGATATCGTGATCAGCATGTAAGTCAGTCCATCCATCTGTCTGCTGTCTGTTGTGTTTCTGGAAAGGAACTCCCAAACCCTTGAATATTCTTTGATAAAACTTGCTGCACAGTCATTTTCATGGTGAAGTGGTACCTTCTGGTGATTTGGGTTTATTATTGTCAATATTTTATGTTTTCAAGACATCAGGTTGGACTTATACTGAAAATACACTTAATGATTATTATAGGAAAAACTCCCAAATTGTTCAATATTTCTTGATGAAACTTGCAATACAAATCGGGTGGCCAACATTAATGATTTGTGACATTGAGAAAAAAATTGAACAGCATTATTTTTTCGTTCAGTGAAGGTAGCCAGTGGCAATGAACCAAAAATGGGTATTAGTAGCCCCCAAACACGGAAACCCACCAGACCAGTGATATGTCTCCTGATTACTCTTGTTGGGTGAAAATGAACATATGACTTCAAAGGGGTATAAATATATACTCTGTATGACTTCTAAAAAGGTCTTTATTCAAAAGATCTCCTTTAACACATGATTCAAATACAATTAACCAATTTCAGGTATGATACAACACTTAACCTGTGTGGATTTTGTTAAACCTGAAAATCAGTGTCCAGCTAATGATGATGAAAGATTCATTTAATGACTTTAGAGTGAGTATGGTTTTACGCTGCTTTTAGCAATATTCCAGCAATATCACGGCAGGGGACACCAGAAATGGGCTTCATAAATTGTACCCATGTGGGGAATCGAACCCGAGTCTTTGGCGTGACGAGCCAACGCTTTAACCACTATGCTACCCCACCGCCCCTAATGACTTTAGAAGGTAGATCTATACGAAAGACCTGTAGGATGATGGGATGTGTACTTGAGGTTTATTTTCTTTCAGGATGAATTAGTTGCTGTTCCGGCAAGCCCATCTTGTTCTGACCATAGCCCCCTAGTGACAAGCAATGATCACTCCACAGATGAGGCAGCTGACACAGGCATGCACTTTCAGTCACCACACTCAATACGGAAGACAAGTTCCTCTCCTTCTTTGTTTGGGTCCTACAGTGAGGAGTCAGGTTTCCCAGACCAAATGAATTATGACAGACCCGTGGGAGGCACCGAGGTAGTGTTAGAGCACAATGCAGAGGTGGCCTCAAGTCTCCATACAGTGGGAAGAGCAGCTGAGGAGCATGCAGGTGGGGTACCAACAGAAGGAACCAGCCTTAGAGATGGCCAAACAGATTCATCTCCTCTAGAACTGATAGAGGAGTATGTAGCCAACAGTCAGGACTCACTGTTACAGGTGGGTGGCCAGTCTTATAAATGTTGTTGGTGACGTTGGAGAAAATGCTTGCTGGGACAATTCATTGAAACGTAGTATTCTTTTCCTAAATAAGATTACCCTTGAAGGTCCGGGTCAGAATTGGCCTTCAGTGACCCATGCTTGTCGTAAGAGGTGACTAACGGGATCGGGTGTCTGTCTGAATTACTTCCGGACATGTCAGAGTCTGCTTTGTAACGAAATGCCAACCCACTGAATTAACCATATTTAAATCATTTGACATAAATGGTTTAATACCCAAGTAAATTGGGGAAGAAAAGCCAGACCTAGCCGACAGGTAACCGTTATGACAACAAGCGATTTTGACAGAATCATCTATGAAAACAAGTTGTAACCGGAAACTAGGCAAAGCAGGTGACAAGATTAAATGACAGTAGATTGTGAAAACAAAGCTTTCATTTTTCACAACATTTGTCTCGATTTCAGGTTTATACAAACATGTAAGCAAGATAATTTACCCCCGGAAATGTACATGAATTCTACATCGCCCCTCATATGTATACCTCACATTACGTCATGGAAACGGGTCCCTCTGATTGGTTGAAATTTCGTTCGCAGGAGAGAATTGTGCTCTGTTGTGAAAAAGGTTGATTTAAGTTAATAAATTTCAAAATGAGTAGTTTTAATGACGGGGTTTCATTTATAACGATGCCAATAAATGATTTATGTATTTGTACCCCCTAGAGTATATGTGACCTTTAATACCAGAGAAACTATAAGTACCCCATATTGCACAACCATAATCAATAGTAGACCATACCATAGACAGATATAACTTTGATTAAGTTTGAAAATACATACCGCCTGAAAGCCTTTACTTGGTAATAAGTAAACCTAAGCCCTGCAAGCTGAACTCACTACAGCTTAAGCCATGAGACCACAATCTAGATGCTCTGATAAAAGAAGACCTAAATAAGTACAACTGTCGACAATTTCTAATTGCATATCCCCACAGAGAAATAAAACATTAGTTGACAACTAAAGCTGTTGTTAATGTTAATCCGATGTTTATCACACTACGTAAATATACTTCCCAATACTTGGTTGTAATCACTTTCCTGTCCATATAACAGTAGGCAACATAAATAATGAAACCCACAATAATCAACAAGAACCAAATTCAACTACAACAAAGCCGACTGGGTAAAATTCCAAAACATGTGTTGCCAGGTAAACCAAACTGAACTAGAAAACAAAAAGACCCGGAAACTTTTGGCCAAAATCTAACAAACTGCATAATTATTATAGCTAAAGAATCCATTCCCATTCAATTACCTCTTGTAGATAAACCATCAGTACTTTGGTGGACCAAGAAAATTGAACAGACCAGGAAAAAGCGTAAAAGGGCATTTATAACGCTAAACGGGCTACTTCTACATTTATACAGCTGAACTAAATCACCACACAGAAGCAGAACTGTCTGGCACAAACTTGAGGCAATCCATGGCTTAAAACAACACTCCAAAACTCAATAAAACAAGTGAAAAAGTCCAAAAGAGAAAGCAAATAATTCAGCCAATCATTTCTCTGCTGTTGATAGCAACTGTAACTATAGTAAAGAATTAAAAAGAACACCAAAAATGTAAGCAAGTTTTCCAGCTCACCTCTGGATGTCAGCCTCCACCTTTTTATGATGGAACAACTACTTCATGTCCTTAATAACTGCAAAAAGGAAACATCCCCTGGGCTTGATCTCACTTCTTACCAAATGATAATGTATCTCCCAAAAAAACTTCTAAAACCCCATCTAAACTTATATAATTAAATTTACCAAAGTGGACAGGTTCCTTCAACATAGAAACAGGCCTCGGTCATACCAATTCCAAAGCCAAATAAACTTATGAGGCAAACTCTTACCGGCCCATTTCCCACAGATCTGATCTGTGTAAAACTATGGAAGCCATGGTCAGAAACCATCTCCAACACTACCAAGATACAACCTTTTGGAATATGTATTACTTCTTATCATAACCTTTCACTGAAAATACAGCCAAAAGATTTTGAAGGTTATGTTGCAGAGACAGTGTTTTACAATAACAACATTGGGGTTAGAGGTGATTATGTCTTTTTTTGCAAATGGTTTGATAGGGGTTTTAGTCCCATTACATGAATCGGGAAGGAAATTATTTGACATTTGAAGAATTCGAACACAAAGTTGGTTTTATAGTGGATTTTACCCAATACAATGGCATAAAGGCAATCAAAATTTATTTAGGAACCCTAAGCTTTCAGAAACTGACCTCTTTCTCTCATCATATTGACATTCCATCAATCTGACAATTGCTCTCTGTTTAAAAGGGGGCCAAATGTTATTAAAACATCCTAAATAACTCCAAAGAAATTGTTTTGTCTGAATGTAAATGGGAAAATGTTATTGATACTTTTGATAGCCATCTTGATTGGAAAATTATCCATGTAACACCAATTAGAACACCTGACACCAAGCTAAGATGGTTTCAGTTTAGAATACTCCACAATCTTACTGCAACAAACTCATTTCTTGTTAAAAGTAAGATTGCTTCCAATTATACATGTAGTTTTTGCAGTAGTGAAGTAGAAACTATCTCCCATCATTTTGGCACTGTACCCATGTACAAACATTCTTGGGAGTATTTTCAGACATGTTGAAAGAAAAGTGCAGTCATGTTTGTTACCTGTTATCAAGTGATAACCTGTGTAACCTGTTATCAAGTGATTGCTTGATGACGGTGTTGGTACCTACACCAAAATGCCGCACTCATTGCAACAAAGAAGTTGACTATCCATAGAACTTGGTTTTCCTTTATCTTTGCAACTTCTAAAATGCCTCACAACTGAACACAACCTAAATGAGCTAAAACAAAACACCACCCCATCCGGTGTTGTCACACCAAAACTAAAAATTCCTAAAATAAACACAAAACTCTCCTCTGAAATAAATAACCAAAAAAACCTGAACATCGCAAAAAAACACAACACCAGCTTGCATACATGAACACTTGCCACATTGCTACCACATTTACACACAAGGATCCTTAGACCCGGGTACAAAACTCACAGCTTTCGGCACCCACATATCACAACCCTCAACACAAACTAAATGATACAGACTCCCAGACATTCAATGAATTCTCACAGCAAAACTAATGGGCATAGCAACAGCACTCCATAACCCTCTCATCAAACAACACAATAACATTTTAATTATGACAGACTCACTCAGTGGACTCCAAGCAATAAAATAGAAAACACTAAAAAACATTTTAAAAAATTAATAAATGAGATACTAAAAACCACTTAGGATCTTCACGCCTCAGGCAAAAAAGGTAGAGTTCATACGACAACAAACACTGACCAAGCAGTCAAAGCGACACTTAAATTTCCAGAAGTTAACTTAAACATACCATTATCTAAAAACAAAATCAATAGCCTATCAAAACAAAAAATCCTTCTTAAAGATGCAAAGTAAATACCAAAGTTCAAATTCTAAACTCAAAAATCTACTCAAAGAAGCACTCAAAGACCAACTATAACCAACATTTGTTTAAACTATAATCATCTGGGGTGATCACTTCAAAACACAATATAACGGTCTGTGTAACTATGTGTAGGATTATAGTATCATATATGGAGATGGCGTTGGGCGAGCTGGGGGCGCGGTGGGCGAGCTGGCTATGGCGCCAGGCTAGTGATCCAGTGAGGTTGAGGTGTCGGGATCGAGCCCACCTGTGACGGGTGTAAAAACCTTGGAGTCAACTTTGTGTGCAGACTCTTTCAGTGTTGTCACAACCCCTAGTGTACAGTACACAACGCTGTGCACTTAAAAGAACCCACAAATCCATTGGTATATGACCAGATGGTGGCCACATGAGTAAGTGCAAACACCTAGTTGCGGGTACAGTAACGTGCAGTGAACATGGACAAAGTACTGTGACTATGTGTCCCAGTCCACCCAGCTGTGAATGGGCACCTCGTTAGGATGAGAAAGCCACAATAATTTGGTGCGCCTAGTGGCTGCAAGAGTTGTATACTCCCCAGGGAGTTGAGATTGATAATGCGATGTGCCGTTGAGATTGACATCCAATGATCGAGGGAAAAAATACCAGCAGCCTTGAGCATGCACTAGTGCTTGGATATGCGCGCTATATAAATATCCTATAATATAATAATATAATATAATTATGATCAACATAAATGAGAGTACATGTATCGTATACATAGATGTAAGTATCATCTATGTAGACTAATGTCTCTTCTTCGTAGAAGTGAGCCCACATGGGCACAATGTGTGAAGCCCATTTCTGGTGTCCCCCTGCCGTGATGTTGGTGGAATATCGCTAAAAGCGGCGTAAAACCATACTCAGTCAGTCAGTCAGTCGTAGAAGTGAGTATCATGTGCATAGATGAAATTATCTTCTACGTTGATGCTAAAAACATTTCAGTTTGTGGCCCTAATATGCTTCCATACCTATAATATTTCTGGAAAGACTTCCGCCCCTATCCCCCCCCTTAAATTTCATTCTAGTCAAATATCACCTGAATATATATTCCTCATCTGATAAGGATGAGTTCTAACATGTTTCTTTAATTGTATCTGAACATACTTAAAGACATATCCAACTTCTGAAAATGCCATTCAAAGAAAGTTTTCCCCATCGTTAAAATTTAGGGGGGATACAGGCGGAAGTCTTACCCTATTTCCATACCTCTTTGAAATAGTGCTGCCATAAAATATAATTACACATACCTAGTCACAAAAGAATTTAAAATGTTGGCTATTCCTTAAAACACTTACTCACTGATCTCATGCACACAGGAATACAGAGATAGAAAAGCTGTATGTTAGTAATTACAAAAGTATACAGTTTATAATCCTTGTTTAACTTATTTAGATAAATAACTTATGATGAGAAGTAGGTAATGTTAAACACTTTTAGTTAACTTTCATAGAACAGGTTTTATATTCTGCAACATGTAAATGCAATAACATAATGTACATACATACAAACATATTAGACTGACCTGATGTGAAAGGTTTGCTGTCAGCTTGTCTGTGCAAGGAGTGTTTGCAGACTGAGTGAGACAGTGGGTTAACTTGGAAGGTCAGCTTGGCCAATCAGTTGGCTTGGCATGTAATAGCTTGGGTTTGTGTTGGGACACATGGACAACAGCTTCTCTGTCAGAACCCCATGTTATACATATACAGAATAGGAACCACTAAAAATTATAAATACATATGCACAAAAGCTGGCAGATGCATGCTACCCCTCAGTGAGAACCTTCAATGCCAGTGTGATGAGTTATGCCTTTATCAAGATCTTAATTCACAAGAAATGCAGGAAACAATTGCTTAATATAATCATAGTTGTCTTTTCCTTCAATGAATTAGGCCATCTTTACAGATGATGCAAGTAGATGATGGGGATTGAGGAGGGTAGATGAACAGGACAGGAGTTGAGACCCACACCCCCACTGTTAAGAGCTTTTTATTTACAAATCAGCATCTTCCTACCACACTGAGATTAGATGTGCAAGAAAAATAAGACTTAGAAGTTGTAATTGTATTTTGACTTAGAGCAATCGTCACTATCTGAGCATGAGCATTGTGTCATGGGCTTTGTTTTAATCTCATTTGTCTGATCATAGTTTTCAGCAGGTAGACTGTGCATGGTTTTGTTTTGGTTCATGTTGTGAGAAGTGTACCTGGAACACGTGCTCCAAGCCTTCCTTGTGTTTGCAGTGGCAGCAGCAGGCAGCCAGCAGCTCCCAGGATTCCTCGGTACAGGATGAGGTTGCAGACCTACCACCTGTCAAAAAGAGAGGCCACACAATTTCTGTCATGTCCCCTGCCCAGGATGTGAGACAGTTAGAAGACACTGATCCAAAGGGGGGAAAGGCAGGCCGAAGCAAAGAATTCCGAGGAGGCGTTAGTCCAAGTTTTGTATTTCTGCAGCTGTTTCACAACCATCCACTCTTCAGCGGATCAGACACCCCAGTTCTCTTACCTCAAACTGAGGTAAGTTAGCCAATAGTTGATCAGATACATCAACTCTACCCCAAACTAAGGTGAGTTAGCCTGTCGAATAAGAGTTCACTAAGTAGATCACATTCCTCAATTCTCCTACACCAAACTGAAGGGAGTTGATGTTGTACATCAGGTACCCCAATTCTCCTACACCAAACTGAGGGGAGTTGATGTTGTACATCAGGTACCCCAATTCTCCTACACTAAACTGAGGGGAGTTGATGTTGTACATCAGGTACCCCAATTCTCCTACACTAAACTGAGGGGAGTTGATGTTGTAGATCAGGTACCCCAATTCTCCTACACTAAACTGAGGGGAGTTGATGTTGTACATCAGGTACCCCGATTCTCCTACACTAAACTGAGCGGAGTTGATGTTGTAGATCAGGTACCCCGATTCTCCTACACTAAACTGAGCGGAGTTGATGTTGTACATCAGGTACCCCAATTCTCCTACACTAAACTGAGGGGAGTTGATGTTGTAGATCAGGTACCCCAATCCTCCTACGCTAAACTGAGGGGAGTTGATGTTGTAGATCAGGTACCCCAATTCTCCTACACCTAACTGAGGTGAGTTGATGTTGTACATCAGGTACCCCAATTCTCCTGCACTAAACTGAGCGGAGTTGATGTTGTAGATCAGGTACCCCAATTCTCCTACACTAAACTGAGGGGAGTTGATATTGTAGATCAGGTACCCCAATTCTCCTACACCTAACTGAGGTGAGTTGATGTTGTACATCAGGTACCCCAATTCTCCTACACTAGACTGAGGGGAGTTGATGTTGTACATCAGGTACCCCAATTCTCCTACACTAAACTGAGGGGAGTTGATGTTGTACATCAGGTACCCCAATTCTCCTACACTAAACTGAGGGGAGTTGATGTTGTAGATCAGGTACCCCAATTCTCCTACACTAAACTGAGCGGAGTTGATGTTGTACATCAGGTACCCCAATTCTCCTACACTAGACTGAGGGGAGTTGATGTTGTAGATCAGGTACCCCAATTCTCCTTCACCAAATTGAGGGGAGTTGATGTTGTAGATCAGGTACCCCCATTCTCCTACACTAAACTGAGGGGAGTTGATGTTGTAGATCAGGTACCCCAATTCTCCTACACTAAACTGAGGGGAGTTGATGTTGTAGATCAGATACCCCCATTCTCCTACACTAAACTGAGGGGAGTTGATGTTGTACATCAGGTACCCCAATTCTCCTACACTAAACTGAGGGGAGTTGATGTTGTACATCAGGTACCCCAATTCTCCTACACCAAACTTAGGGGAGTTGATGTTGTAGATCAGGTACCCCAGTGCTGCTACACTAAACTGAGGTGAAACGACCCAGCAGATTAGGTACCTCAAGTTCCTGTCCGAAACTGTTGTGACTAAGCTCAATGGATAACCTGCCACTCACTGAGATGAGTTGGGCAAGTAGATACGGAGCATTTCTCTTGCTTTTGTGGCTGTGATGCTTTGAGTTCTTGTAATAGTTCATATGTTTGTGATAAAATCTGCATCTTTCTTCCTCCTTTAGGGGCGGTGGGGTAGCCTAATGGTTAAAGCGTTGGCTCGTCACGCTGAAGACCCGGGTTCGAATCCCCACATGGGCACAATGTGTGAAGCCCATTTCTGGTGTCCCCCGCCGTGATGCTGCTGGAATATTGCTAAAAGCGGCGTAAAACCAAACTCAGTCAGTCAGTCAGTCTTCCTCTTTTATATTAGTTCATGAAGGGCAGTTTGTTTGTATTGCAGATTCGCTAAGTTAGGAAAAGTTTATAAATAAATGGGTCCTCTTGTCAATAAAGTACTTACATGCCTTGCTTTTATTTCAGACTATCAACCGTGCACTGCGCATGTTGGACCATATTCACCCATATGAAACTCACAAGATCGGTGTGATATATGTTGGCCCAAACCAGGTAAGCCATTCCTACCTCTGTTTTCCTTTAGCCTGGTGAACATCTTCTTAGCCAGCCTGTAGTGAATGTTTCATAGATGTATTGTGAGATGGAACATTTGGTTGCACTACTTGGGGCATGTGTTTTGCTAACCCAGGAGTGATGTCAGTAAAAGTACTCACAACTTTGTTATTTTTCTGGAGAGAGATTTTAACACAGAAAGAGGCACAGAACTTTCTGTTTCAAAGTTGTACTGCCCTGGGCATACGTTTATTCATACTGAAAACACTTAACACATTGTCAGATGATTATTATCAACTTCAGACGTTAAGGGAGTGACTGCAGAAGATGCAGACCTGGGTGACATTGTTATCATTGTTAATAATTCTAAGAATAACTGGAATTCACATGTTTTAGCTCTGTCTTTACTATTGAAAAATGACCCCTTTGGTAATAAATATATGAAACCATAATTAAACCCAGGGCTTTAAAATGGGAATTGAACAACTTGAATGGAAAACAAACAGGCACACCAAATGTTTTAATGATCTTTAATGTTATTTTTCATTTTAAACAACAGCTGAACTGTAAACAAGAACGCTAAGCTGCACTGGATTGTGTTTGATGAGTTGTTGCTGTACTGGTCTGTGTTTGATGAGATGTTGCTGCACTGGATTGTGTTTGATGAGTTGTTGCTGTACTGGTCTGTGTTTGACCAGTTGTTGCTGTACTGGTCTGTGTTTGATGAGATGTTGCTGCACCGGTCTGTGTTTGATGAGATGTTGCTGCACTGGATTGTGTTTGATGAGTTGTTGCTGTACTGGTCTGTGTTTGATGAGTTGTTGCTGTACTGGTCTGTGTTTGATGAGTTGTTGCTGTACTGGTCTGTGTTTGATGAGTTGTTGCTGTACTGGTCTGTGTTTGATGAGTTGCTGTACTGGTCTGTGTTTGATGAGATGTTGCTGTACTGGTCTGTGTTTGATGAGTTGCTGTACTGGTCTGTGTTTGATGAGTTGTTGCTGTACTGGTCTGTGTTTGATGAGTTGCTGTACTGGTCTGTGTTTGATGAGTTGTTGCTGCACTGGTCTGTGTTTGATGAGTTGTTGCTGTACTGGTCTGTGTTTGATGAGTTGTTGCTGTACTGGTCTGTGTTTGATGAGTTGTTGCTGCACTGGTCTGTGTTTGATGAGTTGCTGTACTGGTCTGTGTTTGATGAGTTGTTGCTGTACTGGTCTGTGTTTGATAAGTTGCTGCTGTACTGGTCTGTGTTTGATGAGTTGTTGCTGTTTGATGTGTTTGACCAGTTGTTGCTGTACTGGTCTGTGTTTGATGAGTTGTTGCTGTACTGGTCTGTGTTTGATGAGTTGCTGTTGCTGATACTGGTCTGTGTTTGATGAGAGTTGTTGCTGTTGTTGCTGTACTGGTCTGTGTTTGATGAGTTGTTGCTGTACTGGTCTGTGTTTGATGAGTTGTTGCTGTACTGGTCTGTGTTTGATGAGTTGTTGCTGTACTGGTGGTACTGTGTTTGTCTGTGTTTGATGAGTTGTTGCTGTACTGGTCTGTGTTTGATGAGTTGTTGCTGTACTGGTCTGTGTTTGATGAGTTGTTGCTGTACTGGTCTGTGTTTGATGAGTTGTTGCTGTACTGGTCTGTGTTTGATGAGTTGTTGCTGTACTGGTCTGTGTTTGATGAGTTGTTGCTGTACTGGTCTGTGTTTGATGAGTTGTTGCTGTACTGGTCTGTGTTTGATGAGTTGCTGCTGTACTGGTCTGTGTTTGATGAGTTGTTGCTGTACTGGTCTGGTGTTTGATGAGTTGTTGCTGTACTGGTCTGTGTTTGATGAGTTGTTGCTGTACTGGTCTGTGTTTGATGAGTTGTTGCTGTACTGGTCTGTGTTTGATGAGTTGTTGCTGTACTGGTCTGTGTTTGATGAGTTGTTGCTGTACTGGTCTGTGTTTGATGAGTTGCTTCACTGGTCTGTGTTTGATGAGTTGTTGCTGTACTGGTCTGTGTTTGATGAGTTGTTGCTGTACTGGTCTGTGTTTGATGAGTTGTTGCTGTACTGGTCTGTGTTTGATGAGTTGTTGCTGTACTGGTACTGGTCTGTGTTTGATGAGTTGTTGCTGTACTGGTCTGTGTTTGATGAGTTGTTGCTGTACTGGTCTGTGTTTGATGAGTTGTTGCTGCTGCTACTGGTCTGTGTTTGATGAGTTGTTGCTGCACTGGTCTGTGTTTGATGAGTTTGATGAGTTGTTGCTGTACTGGTCTGTGTTTGATGAGTTGTTGCTGTACTGGTCTGTGTTTGATGAGTTGTTGCTGCACTGGTCTGTGTTTGATGAGTTGTTGCTGTACTGGTCTGTGTTTGATGAGTTGTTGCTGTACTGGTCTGTGTTTGATGAGTTGTTGCTGTTGCTGCACTGGTCTGTGTTTGATGAGTTGTTTGCTGTTTGACAGTTGGTCTGTGTTTGATGAGTTGTTGCTGTGTTTGATACTGGTCTGTTGCTGTGTCTGTGATGAGTTGTTGCTGTACTGGTCTGTGTTTGATGAGTTGCTGTACTGGTCTGTGTTTGTACTGGTCTGGTGTTTGATGAGTTGTTGCTGTACTGGTCTGTGTTTGATGAGTTGTTGCTGTACTGGTCTGTGTTTGATGAGTTGTTGCTACTGGTCTGTGTTTGATGAGTTGTTGCTGTACTGGTCTCTGTTTGATGAGTTGTTGCTATACTGGTCTATGTTTGATGAGTTGTTGCTGTACTGGTCTGTGTTTGACCAGTTGTTGCTGTACTGGTCTCTGTTTGATGAGATGTTGCTGCACCGGTCTGTGTTTGATGAGTTGTTGCTGTACTGGTCTGTGTTTGATGAGTTGTTGCTGCACTGGTCTGTGTTTGATCAGTTGTTGCTGCACCGGTCTGTGTTTGATGATTTGTTGCTGCACCGGTCTGTGTTCGATCTGTTTTTGTGGTAGTGTTATGTGTTACTATCTTTGTTTCTGTACTGGCTTGTGTTGCAGGTGACTGATGAGAAAGGAATTCTGTGCAATCTGTTTGGTTCCCCGCGCTATGCACGCTTTGTGCAAGGTCTTGGAGAGCTGATACATCTGCAGGACGTTGATCCCGATCGCATCTATGTGGGAGGTCTGGCACTGACTGGCAGCGATGGACGGTTTGCCTACAGCTGGCAGGATGAGTCAATGCAAGGTAGTTCTCAAATCAGTGCATATTGTTGATTTATCCTCTGGCCTGTTTCAAAACATATTTATGCCCAGAACAAAGGTATTCTCTTAAATATCGATATTACACTGATTTACTGCTGTTACATTTTAAGGTGTAATTAACTTATCATGATGTATTTGCTTGTTTGCTGGTTTCATTTTGCAGGTAGATTAATGTTAGAAGGTAATCATATCACCATGGTGACAGTGTAACACCTGACAGATGGACACCTTGCTTCTCAAAAATGGGTTTCGTGCTCTTGATGGTCACATACATGTGTTACTTGATCACGGCTAACTGTCAACACACCATTGCTGCAGTACTACAGTTTGATAGCAAAACTGAACAAGTAGTTTGGGGCAGTTCAGGTGAAATGAACAAATGAGATCAGGACATTTTCACGATCTAATCCACTTTTGACATGTCTTTCTTTAGTACCATTACCATGGTATTTGGGATCATCATCAGTCTGAGAAAATGCCTGGTGTAAGGTAGTTGAGTTTCTGAAACTGTTTCATACAGTATATGTTGAAAGATGGTACTAGTTGTTACCTTGTGTGATGTTTGGTTTAAAGGGGATCAAAGAAGGACAGGTTGCCTTGTAGTTAGTAGAAAGTGGTCACAGTGGTCTCAGTGGATAAAACAAGGACAGGTTGGCTTGTAGTTAGTAGAAAGTGGTCACAGTGGTCTCAGTGGATAAAACAAGGACAGGTTGGCTTGTAGTTAGTAGAAAGTGGTCACAGTGGTCTCAGTGGATAAACCAAGGACAGGTTGGCTTGTAGTTAGTAGAAAGTGGTCACAGTGGTCTCAGTGGATAAACCAAGGACAGGTTGGCTTGTAGTTAGTAGAAAGTGGTCACAGTGGTCTCAGTGGATAAAACAAGGACAGGTTGGCTTGTAGTTAGTAGAAAGTGGTCTCAGTGTGATATCAGTTATAAACTGTGGCATGGTATCTCAGTGGGATATCTGTTATAAACTGTGGCATGGTATCTCAGTGGGATATCTGTAATAAACTGTGGCATGGTATATCAGTGGGATATCTGTAATAAACTGTGGCATGGTATCTCAGTGGTATATCTGTAATAAACTGTGGCATGGTATCTCTCCGGTATATCTGTAATAAACTGTGGAATGGGATATCAGTGGGATATCTGTTATAAACTGTGGCATGGTATCTCTGGTATATCTGTAATAAACTGTGGCATGGTATCTCGGTGGGATATCTGTAATAAACTGGCATGGTATCTCAGTGGGATATCTGTAATAAACTGTGGCATGGTATCTCAGTGGGATATCTGTAATAAATTGTGGCATGGTATATCAGTGGGATATCTGTTATAAACTGGCATGGTATCTCAGTGGGATATCTGTAATAAACTGTGGCATGGTATATCAGTGGGATATCTGTAATAAACTGGCATGGTATCTCGGTGGTATATCTGTAATAAACTGGCATGGTATCTCAGTGGGATATCTGTAATAAACTGTGGCATGGTATCTCAGTGGGATATATGTTATAAACTGTGGCATGGTATCTCAGTGGGATATCTGTTATAAACTGTGGCATGGTATCTCAGTGGGATATCAGTGGGATATATGTTATAAACTGTGGCATGGTATCTCAGTGGGATATCTAATAAACTGTGGCATGGTATCTCAGTGGGATATCTGTAATAAACTGTGGCATGGTATCTCGGTGGGATATCTGTTATAAACTGTGGCATGGGATATAAGTGGGATATCTGTAATAAACTGTGGCATGGTATCTCAGTGGGATATCTGTTATAAACTGTGGCTTGGTATATCAGTGGGATATCTGTTATAAACTGTGGCATGGTATCTCAGTGGGATATCTGTTATAAACTGTGGCATGGTATCTCGGTGGGATATCTGTAATAAACTGTGGCATGGTATCTCAGTGGGATATCTATAATAAACTGTGGCATGGTGTCTCGATTGGATATCTGTAATAAACTGTGGCATGGTGGCATCTCAGTGGGATATCTGTAATAAACTGTGGCATGGTATATCAGTGGGATATCTATAATAAACTGTGGCATGGTATCTTAGTGGGATATCTGTAATAAACTGTGGCATGGTATCTCAGTAGGATATCTGTAATAAACTGTGTCATGGTATATCAGTGTGATATCTGTTATAAACTGTGACATGGTATCTCAGTGGGATATCTGTAATAGACTGTGGCATGGTATATCAGTGGGATATCTGTAATAAACTGTGGCATGGTATCTCAGTGGGATATCTGTAATAAACTGTGGCATGGTATCTCAGTGGGATATCTGTAATAAACTGTGGCATGGTATCTCGGTGGGATATCTGTAATAAACTGTGGCATGGTATCTCGGTGCGATATATGTTATAAACTGTGGCATGGTATCTCGGTGGGATATATGTTATAAACTGTGGCATGGTATCCGGGTGGGATATATGTTATAAACTGTGCCATGGTATGTCAGTGGGATTTCTGTTATAAACTGTGGCATGTGATATCAGTGGGATATCTGTTATAAACTGTGGCATGGTATCTCAGTGGGATATCTGTAATAAACTGTGGCATGGTATCTCGATGGTATATCTGTTATAAACTGTGGCATGGTATATCAGTGGGATATCTATAATAAACTGTGGCATGGTATCTCGGTGGTATATCTGTAATAAACTGTGGCATGGTATCTCAGTGGGATATCTGTAATAAACTGTGGCATGGTATATCAGTGGGATATCTATAATAAACTGTGGCATGGTATCTTAGTGGGATATCTGTAATAAACTGTGGCATGGTATCTCAGTAGGATATCTGTAATAAACTGTGTCATGGTATATCAGTGTGATATCTGTTATAAACTGTGACATGGTATCTCAGTGGGATATCTGTAATAGACTGTGGCATGGTATATCAGTGGGATATCTGTAATAAACTGTGGCATGGTATCTCAGTGGGATATCTGTAATAAACTGTGGCATGGTATCTCAGTGGGATATCTGTAATAAACTGTGGCATGGTATCTCGGTGGGATATCTGTAATAAACTGTGGCATGGTATCTCAGTGGGATATAACTGGCGTATGTCTGGGCTGTACACATGTCCAAGCTGTCGTCAAGCACCCTTGTGCCTCCCCTCACCTCTAGACATAAACCCATGAGCCACTTATATCCTTGCATGAAGCACACAAAAGAATAGCGTGTCCATATTTCTCTAAATTGCCTTAAGTGTTTTTAGAAATGCGTATGTATATATGAGAAAAAGACCCACATGTGTTTGAAGTTGCTAGAGTAGACATCTGCCCAGGACAACTCGCTGCAGCATTGTTACTATGGTGAATGCTTTTCCTATTTCAGTGATTTTCCATGTGGCTACTTTAATGCCAAACAGAGAATCTGATCCTAACTGCAATGCAAAGAAACTGCACATCGGAAATGACTTTGTGACGATTGTGTACAATGACAGTGGTGAAGACTACAAGATGGGGACCATCAAGGTATGTCCTGGTATAGGCAGTGACACACACCGCAGTAGGATGCACGGTACGATTGTTTGTTGGGTCAACTCTGCACACAGCAATATTGCAGCTATTTGAAGGAAGTCTGGGCTAGACTATCCATTGATTGATGTCCTAAATGATTGACAATATCATAAATGATGTTAAAAAACTTTATTGCATGTACAAATAATGCTTGTTCTTTTTGTTCTGTATTAAGAAGTAAATTCTCTAGCCCTCTCTGTCTTGCAGGAGGTATTCTTCTACCATTTGTACTTATGCCACCCTGACACTTGCACGAGTTTTGCCTCCGCATTGCCGCGCAATTCGTCGTGGCAATGCGTGCAATTCAGGCAGCACGCATGAAAGCGTGAAGCCAAGTTTGCGCACTGTTCGTGTCCTGTTTACGCACTTGGCACACAATGCGCGACCGAAAATGGCGCGCATTGTCACGCAATGTCACGCTATCGCACAACTTATTTACATCTAGGTCAAGTATTGTTGGCGTCTAGTGTACGGCATGGTACGCACTACGCGTATTGTTCCAGCATGGGCATGCATTGCCACAACCACTGCGCGCATGCGTGAAGCAGTCGTGGTATTATTTGTTCCCGCCTTGTCCCGCTTGACGCCACGCTATAAAAACGGCAGGCATCACCCATAGCCTCATGCATTCCTTGACTTGCTGTGGACCTACAAGGTGTTGAACACCAGAGAACAAGCTCTTGATGTGGAAAAGAAAACGTGTCTATATCTCGCAGATGCAGCACTATTACTTCTTGAAGACCAGGAGAAAATGCAACAAGAGCAGGCCAAAGAAGTCGACATAACCCCAACTAGAAAAAGGAAAGCAAGGGCAGTGTGGGTGAGGGAATGGTTGACAAGAAGACATCACTTCTTGCAAAACAGTGTTTTGGTAGATGTAAAGGTCTTAAAGTATCATAAGCTGGGCAAATAAGACAGAAATGGTATTCGTCTTCAACGCTATGGCAATCACAGACTTGGCATATTTGTACAGTAATCCTTCCCAGCGTCCAGTATTAACTCTAAATGGTAGTTCTGATGATCTAAGAAGGAAAAGTAGACTTGGTGTTCTCGTTTAGTTAAAGTCGACAAGTAAAATTCTATGTTCAGTAAAGATTTGAAATGTTGATATGAGTGAAGTTTCTTTGGCTCTGTGATCCGTGTGTGCCATTCTTGCTGGTTACAGTCTTTACATCTCTGTTTAAAAACGTTAAAATATAATTGATATCGCCAAACTCTTGGTAAAGTCAGACTGCCAAATCCGTACATGAAAAGTAATTCCATGGTAATTTCTATGCAAGTCTTCAGTACAGATTCAAAGCTGAAGTTATTACAATCTGCAATCTCTCTCTCTCTCTCTCTCTCTCTCTGAGTTCAAGATATGTACACCCTCAGTGTGTCGGGGGCCATGAGATGAGTGTCCATATCCTTGGGATAACGTCACAGCCCAATGCTACTGTCCCTGAACCTGGAGAAATATCTTTCTCCCTCCCTGCAACCTCGGTCTCTATCCGTCTCTGTGTCTTGTCCGGTCTCTTCTTCAAGTCTTCTATCCACTCCTGGTCCTGCTCTTCCTCTGGTTGTTGTCTTCTTCTTCTTGGCAGGCATCTTGTTGACTGTTCGCTGTCGAGTTGAGGAATGTGGGGACTGGCGATCGGTACGCTTTTATGTACGCACTACGTCGCTGGTTCGTGCGCCAACAATGCGTGAAGTAGGCGTGCCCAGTGCAGGTCAATTTCGTGACATGCACAAACTAATCGCGCCGTGCGCATACTATGCAGGAACTGCTCGTTCCATGACCACGTGAACATGTCGTGACAACACACAACGCCCACTTCACGACAAGTTAGAAGGCGTGAACTTTGCGCAGTCGGTCGCGACCATGTCGAACACAGTTTGTGATCCAGGCAGGAGAAAGCGTGACACTGCATGTCAATGCGCGCAGGGCCAGAAATTGACACGCACCGCCCGCAGTGTTTGCGAGTATGTTGCGCAATATTTATGACTAGTTCACGCAAGTAGCGCGAAGATTATGCGTACCAGAAATTTTGAACATTTCAAAATTATCTTTGCGCACTGGTACGCAGCCCCGCACTGTTTGTGCACACTTCACAACAGTTTACGCCGAGTTTACTCATTGGCACGTAAAATTGCATACCAGTGTCAGGGTGGCTTTACACTGTAATTTGATTGAGCTGGAATAAATGAAAATAAAAATGAAAATCACTACTACCCTATTGGGATACAATGGATGTAAGTTCTTACACAGATGGATGGAGGTTAATTACGGTCAGTTGCACTCTGAGGCTCGCCAGCACTTCTATGTGTAAGTTTAAGTTGTAGTGACTGACAAAGTTTGTAATGTTAGTGTTTCTCTTCAAATATGTGGCCTCTCTTTGTTGATGTTATTAGGTTTGATGTGTTTGTGTACAATTTCCTGATGTGTTTCAACAGTCTGCTACAGATAGGTGTGATTTACGGTAGTTTAAGCCCTCAGTGAAGTCCTGAAGCCCATATATGGCCCGAGGTTGTCAGCTGCAGCTGCCAGTCAGTCCACTCATTTGTACTGGACACTGCTTCTTCATTACTTACATTTAAATATCATTTTTGAAAAAACATGTTCTTTTTTGTCTCAAGCCACAAATAAATTCTGTTAATTTTGAAAAGTTTAAAAAGGCTGTCCCAACATCTGTCCCAATATCTGATGAGTCTTGTACACGATAAGTGATGATAACCTTATGATGCCTGTCTCAGCTTAATGTGTACTGCATTCGATGCTTTGCATAGTTAAGCTTTTGACTGACCTTCATGTAAAATATGATCATTGTATCATCCTGACATAGTGTTGCTTCTTTGTGTAATGAGCCCACCATCTGTGGATATGAGATGTTTTTAAGTACCCATGTTTTCAATACACGTCAGTACACCATTTGTTAGGCTGATATAAATTGTCATGGTCATTAGAATGAAAGTGCATTAACTGTGTTATTAGAAGCATTTCACTTTCTGTACCAAAATTTTACAGCTTAAATCCATTAAACTAGAAGTCCTTTATCTTTGTAATTAAGGTAGCTGTTTGCACAGGACATCATCATCATCATCATTATCATCACAACCCTAACTTACTTTCGTATCACTGGTCTGTTTCAGGGCCAGTTTAATTACGTAAACATTGTCATCCGTCCACTGGACTATGAGAGCAATGCAGTGACACTGCAGACTAAAGAAGGTGAGTACGGTATATGATGCTTACATGAATCAGTGATTGAAAACCCTTTTAAAAGTCATCACTTCTGTCCTTTTTCACTGCAGCCACTTTTGTTTCTATAATGAATGTTTTCTGTAAATATGAAAAGTTTTGAGCCATGAAGGTATTGTGAGAGTCAAACAACAGTCTGATCTGCATCTGGAATGTTTTGTGGTGTCATGGTGATGATGTAACATATGTTATATTTGGGATTACACTTTCTCAGTAAAGTACAAAATCTAGTACTTTTGTTGGGTTGAATCCCATCCTTGGATTTGAACCCACATCCTCAGAGTCAGGCACTTATTAGACAGCACACAAAGTCAGCCACCTAACCCACTCAGCCTCCGCAAGAATCTGTACTATACTGAGAAAGTGTAATTCCAAAAGAACATCTGTTACATCTGAGCACTTTCTAAATGGCATTGTGTATTCAATGATGATGATGTTGATTACCAAGCCTTTTGTTTTTAAACATATTGTATTGATATAAAAGGTCAAAAGGATTGGGCCAAAGTTTGCTACTTAGAACTCCCTTTCCATAGACATGTACACAGACAGCTACTTGTGCATGTGTTAAGGAATTGATGAAAGGATAAGTTATTGCCAGTGTTACAATAACTGTATGCGTAGATGTATGCTGTAGTAGATAATGTTAGAGGAGTGTGTTTATCCAACACTAACATTGTCACACTGTCCTATGTCTTGGTAACGAATGGTTGATGTTAGCCACGTGACGAGATGTGGCAGGTTAGTTTTCAGGTTAGACCATGGAGTGAATGACAACACCTACCGGTAGTTTGTTCTGGTCAATCTGTGAACTCATGTAGGCCCATTATTGCTTACTGCCACTGATCAACTGGTGTCACTTTGTATCAACATTACATATTCTGTGTAAGCCATATGTGCTGAAGGAGTATAAGTAAACTGGTCATATGATAGTACCCCCGTTGTATTCAAACAGAATGTGGTCAAGTTTACCTACAAATGTCATTGACCTCCCAGTCCTCCAGAGCTGCACCAAGATCATCTGGCGATAACTTCTTCCTCAATTCAGAATGAGAAGAGAGAGAAGATTTTCGTATTCAATACAGGTGCAACTCCTCGTCGACGCCAATGCCTACTGCTGTGACGTATGTCTTGCCGTCATCTCACAAATGTACACCATGAATGCATTTGTTGAAGGCAAGATGTGCCCATAGGCATCTGGACTACTGCCTTAGAGAACTTAATAATGATTTTTTAATATTGTGAAAACCTGTTCTGACTAAAATCTGCACTGACTTCATACTTGCTCCTCTAAAGGTCTTGAACAATGTTTCCCCTCAGTGTCAGCCAAAAGGTTGTTTCTGTCATTGTCGTTTAGCCATGTGTGAGTACATCCAGAAAAGTACTATTGTCATCAAGGGCAATCCCAGTGTAACCTAGCTGGTAACACATGCGAATGCTTTTCGACTTAGGTCTGTTGATCTCATCACCAGTGTAGAGCAATTCACAAATATATGACCAGCTACTGGGTGGAAGGCACCCACAGTAACAACACCTGGAACATCTTTGAGACAGTCAGTCCCCACACCACCCACCTTGTTGATGGCACAGAAAACTCATATTGCTTGTTCAAATGGTAACCTATTCACAATCATGCACTTTTTGAAAACACTGTTTATCTGAAGTCACTATTCATCATTTCTCAGTAGGTGTACACATCAAGTGAAGAAGGAGAAACGCTGACAAGTAAAAATGTTCTTGACTTGTACAAGAGACAATTCCTTGCTGGGGGAGTACCTTGATGGCATCACGTCTAACCAGCTCCTGATCTCAGTTATAAATGTATCTCGGTATTAATGTTTATCATGTCAACAATGTCAAGAGTATTTGATGTATATTTCCTATGTAGGGTTAAGTGTCATTCAGACTATACCATTACATCAAAGAAGCACTTGCTAATCACAACATAAGGATTATCTGTTGGCATATTTCACGTTGGTGAACAAAAAGTGTTAGTGAATGTCAATTTTCTCAGTACTTTCCTGCTGCCAAAACTTTCCGTTGATGTGTATACACCACTCTCCCAGTACTTGAATACCTGTGTATACACCACTCTCCCAGTCCTTGAATACCTGTGTATACGCCACACTCCCAGTCCTTGAATACCTGTGCATACACCACACTACCAGGCCTTGAATACCTGTGTATATACCACTCTTCCAGGCCATGAATACCTGTGTATACACCACTCTCCCAGTCCTTGAATACCTGTGCATACACCACTCTCCCAGTCCTTCAATACCTGTCTATACGCCACATTCCAAGGCCATGAATACCTGTGTATACACAACGCTCCCAGGCCATGAATACCTGTGTATACACCACACTCCCAGGCCATGAATACCTGTGTATATACAACTCTGCCAGTCCCTAAATACATCATATCGTCATACACCAGTCTCCAAATCCCTGAATACCTGTGTATATGGCACAGTACCAGGCCATGTATACCTGTGTATACACCACACTACCAGGCCATGTATACATATCGTAATTCACCAGTCCCCCAGGCCATGAATACCTGTGTATACACCACTCTCCCAATCCCTGAATACCTGTGTATACACCACACTACCAAGCCATGAATACCTGTGTATATACCACACTACCAGGCCATGAATACCTGTGTATACACCACTCTCCCAGGCCATGAATACCTGTGTAGATACCACTCTGCCAGTCCTTGAATACCTGTGTATACACCACTCTGCCAGTCCCTGAATACATCATATCGTCATACACCAGTCTCACAATCCCTGAATACCTTTGTAAACACCACACTACCAAGCCATGTATACCTGTGTATACACCACACTACCAGGCCATGTATACATATCGTAATACACCAGTCTCCGAATCCCTGAATACCTGTGTATACACCACACTACCAGGCCATGTATACATATCGTAATACACCAGTCTCCCAATCCCAGAATACCTGTGTATACACCAGTCTCCCAATCCCTGAATACCTGTGTATACACCACACTACCAGGCCATGTATACATATCGTATACACCACACTACACCAGTCTCCCAATCCCTGAATACCTGTGTATACACCACACTACCAGGCCATGTATACCTGTGTATACACCACACAACCAGGCCATGTATACATATCGTAATACACCAGTCTCCCAATCCCTGAATACCTGTGTATACACCACACTACCAGGCCATGTATACATATCGTAATACACCAGTCTCCCAATCCCTGAATACCTGTGTATACACCACACTACCAGGCCATGTATACCTGTGTATACACCACACAACCAGGCCATGTATACCTGTGTATACACCACACTACCAGGCCATGTATACATATCGTAATTCACCAGTCCCCCAGGCCATGAATACCTGTGTATACACCACTCTCCCAATCCCTGAATACCTGTGTATACACCACACTACCAAGCCATGAATACCTGTGTATATACCACACTACCAGGCCATGAATACCTGTGTATACACCACTCTCCCAGGCCATGAATACCTGTGTAGATACCACTCTGCCAGTCCTTGAATACCTGTGTATACACCACTCTGCCAGTCCCTGAATACATCATATCGTCATACACCAGTCTCACAATCCCTGAATACCTTTGTAAACACCACACTACCAAGCCATGTATACCTGTGTATACACCACACTACCAGGCCATGTATACATATCGTAATACACCAGTCTCCCAATCCCTGAATACCTGTGTATACACCACACTACCAGGCCATGTATACATATCGTAATACACCAGTCTCCCAATCCCAGAATACCTGTGTATACACCAGTCTCCCAATCCCTGAATACCTGTGTATACACCACACTACCAGGCCATGTATACCTGTGTATACACCACACTACCAGGCCATGTATACATATCGTCATACACCAGTCTCACAATCCCTGAATACCTTTGTAAACACCACACTACCAAGCCATGTATACCTGTGTATACACCACACTACCAGGCCATGTATACATATCGTAATACACCAGTGTCCGAATCCCTGAATACCTGTGTATACACCACACTACCAGGCCATGTATACATATCGTAATACACCAGTCTCCCAATCCCAGAATACCTGTGTATACACCAGTCTCCCAATCCCTGAATACCTGTGTATACACCACACTACCAGGCCATGTATACCTGTGTATACACCACACAACCAGGCCATGTATACATATCGTAATACACCAGTCTCCGAATCCCTGAATACCTGTGTATACACCACACTACCAGGCCATGTATACATATCGTAATACACCAGTCTCCCAATCCCTGAATACCTGTGTATACACCACACTACCAGGCCATGTATACCTGTGTATACACCACACAACCAGGCCATGTATACCTGTGTATACACCACACTACCAGGCCATGTATACATATCGTAATTCACCAGTCCCCAGGCCATGAATACCTGTGTATACACCACTCTCCCAATCCCTGAATACCTGTGTATACACCACACTACCAAGCCATGAATACCTGTGTATATACCACACTACCAGGCCATGAATACCTGTGTATACACCACTCTCCCAGGCCATGAATACCTGTGTAGATACCACTCTGCCAGTCCTTGAATACCTGTGTATACACCACTCTGCCAGTCCCTGAATACATCATATCGTCATACACCAGTCTCACAATCCCTGAATACCTTTGTAAACACCACACTACCAAGCCATGTATACCTGTGTATACACCACACTACCAGGCCATGTATACATATCGTAATACACCAGTCTCCCAATCCCTGAATACCTGTGTATACACCAGTCTCCCAATCCCTGAATACCTGTGTAGACACCACACTACCAGGCCATGTATACCTGTGTATACACCACACTACCAGGCCATGTATACATATCGTAATACACCAGTCTCCCAATCCCTGAATACCTGTGTATACACCACACTACCAGGCCATGTATACCTGTGTATACACCACACAACCAGGCCATGTATACATATCGTAATACACCAGTCTCCGAATCCCTGAATACCTGTGTATACACCACACTACCAGGCCATGTATACATATCGTAATACACCAGTCTCCCAATCCCTGAATACCTGTGTATACACCACACTACCAGGCCATGTATACCTGTGTATACACCACACAACCAGGCCATGTATACATATCGTAATACACCAGTCTCCCAATCCCTGAATACTTGTGTATACACCGCACAACCAGGCCATGTATACATATCGTAATACACCAGTCTCCCAATCCCTGAATACCTGTGTATACACCACACTACCAGGCCATGTATACCTGTGTATACACCACACTACCAGGCCATGTATACATATCGTAATACACCAGTCTCCCAATCCCTGAATACTTGTGTATACACCGCACAACCAGGCCATGTATACATATCGTAATACACCAGTCTCCCAATCCCTGAAGACTTGTGTATACACCACACTACCAGGCCATGTATACATATCGTAATACACCAGTATCCCAATCCCTGAATACCGGTACTTGTGTATACACCGCACAACCAGGCCATGTATACATATCGTAATACACCAGTCTCCCAACCCCTGAATACTTGTGTATACACCACACTATTTCTGTGAGGTGAACACATGTGGTTTGTTTGTTAATGAGAAAAATAATGAGAATTGTAATGGGAAATATGTCCCCTCCTGCTGCTCATAATGCCTGTCGGGAATGTGACGAGATGCCATGTTGGTAAGACCTGTCAACCTTCGACTCTCTGTCTTCCTTTGAGAAATATGCCTTAGTTATCAAGAAGGGTCAAGAGGAGAACATGCCAGAGAAAATATGGACTCTAGCTTGGTTTGCCTGGAATCTGGAGATTAGTGGATCAGGGCATTCCCCTGCCTCATCTTATTTTCATCTACATCAACAAGATACACCGCACATTGCACCTTGTGCGGGGAACACTAGAAATGGGCTTCACACAGTGAGGGAACACTGTAAGGATAATGTGGATCACACTAAGGAACGAGGGAGACATGAGCAGTCTGAGCAAATGAAGCGTGTGAAAGTGGCTTAGTGCAAGTTCCAGGCCAATTTCCTTTAGCCCAATTTTTTCGACATTAAACCATTTCATTGTGTACTTTCGACGTTTTTGTGTGAAAAAAGTATTAAAATTGTGAAAGGAAAAACAACAAAGGTTCACATGCATTGCACCAGACATCTACCTACTATTTTGGATTAGGTCCCTTATCCTTACCCTAACCCTAACCCTGACCCTGACCCTGACCCTGACCCTAAACTTAACCCTAACCCCTTGAAATAATCCTAATAAATAGAATACATTGACCGAAGTGGCACAAAAGTGGCTGACATGTCCAGTGTAATGCATTCTTAGCGCTTCGAAAAATAAAATATTCTAAAAAACTCCATTTCTGTGTAATGATGCAAATTACTGAATGAAAATATATATGCATATTAGTTCCCATTTATAATTCATTTAGTCCTAAAAGTTATGTTGAAACCGAAATATAAAATACATTTGAAATAAAAGTGCTTTCATAAACTGGCGCTTTCTATAAAATGCCCTGTCAAACTCCCAATGTCACTTGGCTTACTCAATGACAATGTGTATAGAGAGCTGAGAGGAGCTTTAGGCACACTCCATAACCCAGCAACAGTCTGATGTCAAAGAGCTTCTTTTTTTTGGTTACAAAGTTTCACAAATTACGTCATAAGGTATTGTGATGTAATTTATAAAGTCTGTGGTGCTATATTCTAAAGGAAAGTCAAATATCTGAATTCACACGCTGCATTTGTTCAGTAATGATTTGAGGCTAACTCGCCCTCATGGTGTCACCAGATATGCTCATGTCTCCCCCACACTTCTGGGGTGATGACTTATGCCAGGACAGCTACAACAGAAAGAAGCCATGCAACTAAAATTATGGAAAAGGATACCAGATAACGAAGAATGAAAAGCCTGGACCAAAGCAGGCCTGTCTGCTCCCTGACTTCACCATAACTCGCTATATGGACCAAAACTTTCCTTTATGGATGCCACTTTCAACTATACTTTTCTTATGCTGGTTTTTCCTATGCTGATATCACTATGTCCAGTGGCCAGCCATCTGACAGCATATGCTGACAACTGTAAAATCATTACGAGCGACCAGTGGATGTGCTTAGTCATAAAGGAAGGATATCACCTATAGTTCCACAAGGACCCCCTTGATGACACATCCCATAGGAATTTGCTTTCACCTCCATGACTCCAAGCTTGCAGTGTCAGTGACAGCTCTAGACAAGCTCCTGGACAAGTAGGCTGTCATCGAGTTGGTCTCTTCAGATCGTTGCACAGCTTTTTACCCTCCTGGTTCCCAAGAAGGATTTATCGGAGCTCAGGACCTTGGACAGAATCAATTCGGAATTTCAGGCAGACCATCTCCATAGGGAATTCTATGATCTCTCTGACTATTCACTGTTATCACAGCTCCAGTGCTCACCTATCTCCATCCTCAATGCATTCTGATCCATGAATACTTGGATAACTTCCTTTGTCCCAATATAGACAATGTAAAATCATTACGAGCGACCAGTGGATGTGCTTAGTCATAAAGGAAGGATATCACCTATAGTTCCATAGAGGCTTCCTGGTACATCAAAACTACAGCTTATGTGAATTCAGAACTACATCGGGGCCATATTAAGATATACTTCAGGACTCATTTATCCCCAAAAGGACCACTATCAGGACGTACAGACTCGGATCCTGGACTATCAGCACACACCTCAAGGATTGGATGTCACTGCTAGGGTCTCTTACTTCGATGCAGGATCTAACAGCTAGAGGCATCTGCAGCTCTGGTACATCCTGGATTGGATTAGTCACCATCGAGAGACACAGCTGGACTCATGCCACAGAGCCAGTGTTCAGGGACCTGAGATGGTATAGCCTGCCTGATTACCTAATTCACAGGCCTCCAGTCCAGATGCCCAGAGGCGGTTTACGATTGTCAATCTCCATCAGGTAAGATGTTTGATTTCATTAGAATCAAGGAACATGACCTATTCTCAATCATCAGTTCCAAGCCTTGGAGGTCCTCAACTCGGAAGAGGACAGAACATTTCATCTGACCTTAACCTTCATCATACTTGCTGATTGGTCACCACACCACATACATTCCTTCATAACCACAGACAAATGTAAGGTTGTGGCCTTTGTCAACAGGTTTGGAGGAAAGCACTCTCAGGAACTGATGGAACTCATGAGAGACTTGTATGACATTGTGGACAGTATCCACTGCAACATTGCTGCCAGACACCTGGGAAGTTATGTGTACTTGCTGATGCACTATCATGTACAGAAAAGATTCTGACAACAGGATGGATGCTACATCTGGAAGCTAGCTGATTTTGCTCAACAATTAGCTGCCAACATACATCTGTTCAGTTCTGTGCTTACGCAGTGGGTATCATGTCAACTTTGGGGGAAGAACATATGGCTGACACCTGTCCTCTAACTATGATGATCCCTCAAGTTCTGGCAAAAATGAGGAATCACAGGATGACACTTTACCAAGTGGCAACAGCATGGCCCACATGATCATGGTTTCCCGACCTACTTGCACTCCTTGTAGACCAACCACCGTGACTGCCATTCTGCCCAACACTGATCAGGCAACCAACGACGGACAGATTCCATTGCAATCCAACAACACCTCACTTTCCCTGTATTTTCACAGTTGGTTTCTGCTATGAGTCAGACCTTCAACATCTGCTTGATTTGTATGATGTGTGATTTTAATCTTGTCTGTTCCTGCAGTGGAAATTCAGGACTGGAATCACAAAACCTTCATGGAACCATCAAGATTTACACTTGACCATTTTCCAGAATTTCTGGCCATGAGCCAGAAGTGTTCTATGGGACTATTAGGACAGCGATTGTACATAATACTAGCTCTGACTCCTGTGTTGTAGCAATCATTAACGGATCAGACTTTATGACCAATTAGAGCCCTGAAGTGGTACATTCAGGGGACTAAGTCCTTCAGTCAATGATGCTGTCATCTCTGGATCTCCAGTCAAGATGGGTGAAAAAGACCATTAATCTCACAGAACATCAGCCTCCAGTGTATTGATTACTCAGACCACATGAGACACAAGCTATATTTCCTTCTATTGTAACCTTGAAATTCATTTCTCAAGAACAGATAATGTTAGGCTGCCAGTGGGCATCTTCTGATACTTTCATATCTTCATCATGTCATTGAGGATCTGCATATCATCTGTAGGATGATAAATGGACCAGAAGTGAAACAAATGTAATGTTAACCAGAAACGACATCGGTTTTCTAAGGTATTTTCCACAGGCATGCAATGTTTTTGATCGTCCACCAGTATATAGTATGTTATCAGAAAGAAGGATTTCAAAGTCACAAGAAGCAAGTGCAGGTCTGTTTGTCTTAACAGTTAACAGTCTCTGTTGTTTATGTTTGCATGCATCCTTAAGAGTTCTGCATGTATCCTTAAGAGTTCTGCATGTTAGTAGGATCTTAATTTCAGATGACTTTATGTTGATGTTGAAAGTTGGTGAAACATTTTGGTGAGCCACAGAGCTTTGTGACTGTTGCTGGCTTTTGTTTGGAGACGTAGTTATTCAAAGATTATCCTTGTATATGTAACGATCAGCTATACTTTCCTCCCTGTCAACATGGGCCACACTTCTCTGTTTTAGAGCCATATGAGTTCAAGGGCCAAATATCTACAGGTAACCTTGTCTGTCCATCAGTACCCTGAATGTGCTTCAGCCTGCCTTCCTGCCTGCTTCTTCTCCTTGTTGTGACATGTAATCAGTGATACAGACTCTGCTGAATTATAAGAACACTATGATACAATACTCCTTTACACTCTTGTCAAGCAGCTGTAATATTTTACTGTTATTTTGTGAGGATGCAGCCAATAATATACTTACAGAAAACTACACATTGATAATGCTCAATTAAACAGCAATCTGTGATCAAGAAAGCATACTATGTCAGTCTTGAATACGTTTGAATGCCCACTGTCACACTTAGCAAGAGATATAACTCCTGTCTGTTTTGTATTATGTCACTGCCACAAATCTGGTATTTTGGATTTCATCACACTATAAAGATGATAATTGCCCTCAGAGGTCCACTCCTCTGTTAACTATATGTAAACTGACTGACTGAGTTTGATTTTACGCCGCTTTTAGCAATATTCCAGCAACGTCACGCCGGGGGACACCAGAAATGGGCTTCACACAATGTACCCATGTGGGGATTCGAACCCGGGTGTCTATATGTAAACAGTTGAACAGGAAATAATATCCTTCTTGCACAACTGTAGGTTAAAGCTCGTGAATGTTAGTGTTAGCGACCCTACATCTCCTGGTCTGTGTATTGTCCAGCCCTGTCCTGAATGTTAGTGTTAGCGACCCTACATCTGCTGGTCTGTGTATTGTCCAGCCCTGTCCGTGAATGTTAGTGTTAGCGACCCTACATCTCCTGGTCTGTGTGGTGTGTATCTGTCCAGCCCTGTGTAGTGACCCTACATCTCCTGGTCTGTGTGGTGGTGGGATCTTGTCATGAAGTGTCACAGACCCTACAGCTCCTGGCCTGTGTGGTGGTGGGATCTGTCCATGCCTGATAGTGTCACAGACCCTACAGCTGGCCTTGGTCCGATAGTGTCACAGACCCTACAGCTCCTGGCCTGTGTGGTGGTGGGATCTGTCCATGTCTGATAGTGTCACAGACCCTACAGCTCCTGGCCTGTGTGGTGGTGGGATCTGTCCATGTCTGATAGTGTCACAGACCCTACAGCTCCTGGCTTGTGTGGTGTAGGGATATGTCCATGTCTGTTGGTGTCACAGACCCTACAGCTCCTGGCTTGTGTGGTGGTGGGATCTGTCCGTGTCTGTTAGTGTCACAGACCCTACAGCTCCTGGCTGTGTGTGGTGTGTGGGATCTGTCCATGTCTGTGGGAGTGTCACAGACCCTACAGCTCCTGGCTTGTGTGGATCTGTCCATGTCTGTTAGTGTCACAGACCCTACAGCTCCTGGTGGGATCTGTCACAGACCCTACAGCTCCTGGCTTGTGATGGGATCTGTCCATGAATGTTGGTGTCACAGACCCTACAACTCCTGGCTTGTGTGGTGGTGGGATCTGTCCATGAATTTTGGTGTCATAGACCCTACAGCTCCTGGCTTGTGTGGTGGGGATCTGTCCATGTCTGATAGTGTCACAGACCCTACAGCTCCTGGCTTGTGTGGTGTAGGGATATGTCCTTGTCTGTTGGTGTCACAGACCCTACAGGTAATGGCTTGTGTGGTGGCGGGATCTGTCAACGAATGTTTGTGTCATGGACCCTACAGCTCCTGGCTTGTGTGGTGATGGGATCGTTCCATGTCTGATAGTGTCACAGACCCTACAGCTCCTGGCCTGTGTGGTGGTGGGATCTGTCCATGTCTGTTAGTGTCACAGACCCTACAACTCCTGGCTTGTGTGGTGGTGGGATCTGTCCATGAATTTTGGTGTCATGGACCCGACAGCTCCTGGCTTGTGTGGTGTAGGGATATGTCCATGAATGTTGGTGTCACAGACACTACAGCTCATGGCTTGTGTGGTGGCGGGATCTGTCCATAAATTTTGGTGTCATGGACCCTACAGCTCCTGGCTTGTGTGGTGTAGGGATATGTCCTTGTCTGTTGGTGTCACAGACCCTACAGCTCCTGGCTTGTGTGGTGGTGGGATCTGTCCATGAATTTTGGTGTCATGGACCCTACAGCTCCTGGCTTGTGTGGTGATGGGATCTGTCCATGTCTGTTAGTGTCACAGACCCTACAACTCCTGGCTTGTGTGGTGGTGGGATCTGTCCATGAATTTTGGTGTCATGGACCCGACAGCTCCTGGCTTGTGTGGTGTAGGGATATGTCCATGAATGTTGGTGTCACAGACACTACAGCTCATGGCTTGTGTGGTGGCGGGATCTGTCCATAAATTTTGGTGTCATGGACCCTACAGCTCCTGGCTTGTGTGGTGTAGGGATATGTCCTTGTCTGTTGGTGTCACAGACCCTACAGCTCCTGGCTTGTGTGGTGGTGGGATCTGTCCGTGTCTGTTAGTGTCACAGACCCTACAGCTCCTGGCTTGTGTGGTGATGGGATCTGTCCATGAATGTTGGTGTCACAGACCCTACAACTCCTGGCTTGTGTGGTGGTGGGATCTGTCCATGAATTTTGGTGTCATAGACCCTACAGCTCCTGGCTTGTGTGGTGGCGGGATCTGTCCATGTCTGATAGTGTCACAGACCCTACAGCTCCTGGCTTGTGTGGTGTAGGGATATGTCCTTGTCTGTTGGTGTCACAGACCCTACAGGTAATGGCTTGTGTGGTGGCGGGATCTGTCAACGAATGTTTGTGTCATGGACCCTACAGCTCCTGGCTTGTGTGGTGATGGGATCGTTCCATGTCTGATAGTGTCACAGACCCTACAGCTCCTGGCCTGTGTGGTGGTGGGATCTGTCCATGTCTGTTAGTGTCACAGACCCTACAACTCCTGGCTTGTGTGGTGGTGGGATCTGTCCATGAATTTTGGTGTCATGGACCCTACAGCTCCTGGCTTGTGTGGTGATGGGATCTGTCCATGTCTGTTAGTGTCACAGACCCTACAACTCCTGGCTTGTGTGGTGGTGGGATCTGTCCATGAATTTTGGTGTCATGGACCCTACAGCTCCTGGCTTGTGTGGTGATGGGATCTGTCCATGTCTGTTAGTGTCACAGACCCTACAACTCCTGGCTTGTGTGGTGGTGGGATCTGTCCATGAATTTTGGTGTCATGGACCCGACAGCTCCTGGCTTGTGTGGTGTAGGGATATGTCCATGAATGTTGGTGTCACAGACACTACAGCTCATGGCTTGTGTGGTGGCGGGATCTGTCCATAAATTTTGGTGTCATGGACCCTACAGCTCCTGGCTTGTGTGGTGTAGGGATCTGTCCATGAATGTTGGTGTCACAGACCCTACAACTCCCGGCTTGTGGGGTGATGGGATCTGTCCATGAATTTTGGTGTCATGGACCTACAGCTCCTGGCTTGTGTGGTGGTGGGATCTGTCCATGAATGTTGGTGTCACAGACCCTACAACTCCTGGCTTGTGTGGTGGCGGGATCTGTCCATGAATTTTGGTGTCATGGACCCTACAGCTCCTGGCTTGTGTGGTGGTGGGATCTGTCCATGAATGTTGGTGTCACAGACCCTACAGCTCATGGCTTGTGTGGTGGTGGGATCTGTCCATGAATGTTGGTGTCACAGACCCTACAGCTCATGGCTTGTGTGGTGGTGGGATCTGTCCATGAATTTTGGTGTCACAGACCCTACAACTCCTGGCTTGTGTGGTGGCGGGATCTGTCCATGAATTTTGGTGTCATGGACCCTACAGCTCCTGGCTTGTGTGGTGGTGGGATCTGTCCATGAATGTTGGTGTCACAGACCCTACAGCTCATGGCTTGTGTGGTGGTGGGATCTGTCCATGAATTTTGGTGTCACAGACCCTACAGCTCCTGGCTTGTGTGGTGGTGGGATCTGTCCATGAATGTTGGTGTCACAGACCCTACAGCTCCTGGCTTGTGTGGTGGTGGGATCTGTCCATGAATTTTGGTGTCACAGACCCTACAGCTCATGGCTTGTGTGGTGGCGGGATCTGTCCATGAATGTTGGTGTCACAGACCCTACAGCTCATGGCTTGTGTGGTGGTGGGATCTGTCCATGAATGTTGGTGTCACAGACCCTACAGCTCATGGCTTGTGTCGTGGCGGGATCTGTCCATGAATGTTGGTGTCACAGACCCTACAGCTCATGGCTTGTGTGGTATAGGGATATGTCTATGTCTGATAGTGTCAGGGACCATTCAGCTCATGGCTTGTGTGGTAGGCTCATGGCTTGAGTAGGACAGGTTCTGTTTGGACATGTCACAACCCCTTCTGCCCCTGGACTGTTCACTGAAAGGTCAATAATGATGTGATGTCCATGTATATACAGAATGACTTCACAACCGTCACAGAATAAATATGTCCATGGTCTCAGGCATCTATTGTCCATTTTTAAGCATTTTGTGCACCATAATTTCAACTGTAAACCATGTTGTTCGAGTTGTTTAAGATATGTAACCTACAGGTTTTTGTAACCAAAGTTTTATTTAGTTGACATTGTTTCATGTGTCACCTACATCTCGAACAGTTTGCAGTCTTAAACATATGCTAGCTTTCCTTGCATCCCACTACTACCATGTGATTTGTGATGCAACCTTAAACATATGCTAGCTTTCCTTGTGTCCCACTTCAGCCTTATCATCTGTGATGCAACCTTAAACATATGCTAGCTTTCCTTGTGTCCCACTTCAGCCTTGTGATCTGTGATGCAACCTTAAACATATGCTAGCTTTCCTTGTGTCCCACTTCAGCCTTGTCATCTGTAATGCAACCTTAAACATATGCTAGCTTTCTTTGCACTTCACACTAACCTTGTCATTTGTGGGATGCCCTCATATAATGCTGGTTGTCTTTGCAGCTTGATCAGCAAGCCTGTCCCTCCAGTTTGTAGATGCAGATTTCTTTCTGATCAGCTGTTGTCTCGCTTGTGTTCAATTTCCAGATATTGCTGACATCCTTGGTCACACAGACACCAAGATAATCTCTGACAGCAGCCTGGCATTGCTGGTCCGACAGATTGCCATGCATTGCAATGTGAGTACCTTTACGTCCTTCCATGTGTCATGTACAGTTTCCTGGGAACAACTAAAAAATTGATCAATATTTCTTGACTAGACCCGCCATATAGCTGGAATATTGCTGAGTGCGGCGTAAAACTAAACTCACTGAACAGCATGAGCATCGATCTGCGTAATTGGGAACCGATGACATGAGTAGTTATATAGTGGGGGCCTGGACCACTTCCTCTTATAGGCTTATTTCTACGTAATTCCGCTCCCAGCTCCTAGTATAAAATAGTGATTTTCGAGCAGAGACATCATTCAATGTACAGCGTCGAGGTCTAATCAGTGGTTTATGCGCGTGTGTCCGTATACGTAAGCCGTGACACCGTTGACGGCGATCCACTCCTTGTCGCCCATGGATACCAAACAGTGGATCGCCGCCGACGGCAACGACTTTACTTCGCATCGGACACAAAGCGATAAACCACTGATTAGACCTTGACGCGTTGGGAGTTTCTAAGACCCCCTATAAAGGAAATTCCACTTGGCATGTCGAGGTCTAGTCAGTAGTTCCTGAAAAAATGGGTTGCCCTAGCGAAAATGAGATTCTTATCACGGGTCTAGGATGGCGAGCTCGGCTGTACATCGAATGATGTCTCTGCTCGAAAATCACTATTTTATACTAGGCGCTGGGAGCGGAATTACGTAGAAATAAGCCTATAAGAGGAAGTGGTCCAGAAGCCCCACTATATAACTACTACATGTGTCAACCAAGTCAGCAAGCCTGACCACCCAATCCCATTAGTCGCCTCTTACAAGCATAGTCGCCTTTTGTAGCAAGCATGGGTTGCTGAAGACCTATTCTACCCCGGATCTTCACGGGTAGTTTATTACAAATGATTGACACTAGTTGATCTATATGGTCCAAATTTGGACAGTCCAGGCTTTTACAAGTGACTGTTCACACAGATAATGATGAACATTTAATATTTGGTGTTGATCGGAATGTTGTTATTAACCCAGATGTAGACACCTATATTTATGTGCATGTTAACAATCCATTAGCACATGAATAAGGTCTTGAAATGATTGTGAACTTAATTTAGTGGACCCTGAAATGCAAATATTTACTTGGAGGAAAAAAACAATTTTAAAACAGGCTCGCTTTATTCCTTTGTTCACGTCTACTAATATCAATTCAAGACACAGTCAAATTTCAAACTTTTAGGAATAGATTTTGACGTTGAGTTAAATTATATTGTAGACCTTAACTATAATGATAAATTTGAAAAAATCTACCAAGAAATGAATATTTGGTCTCTGAGATATTTGACACCAATGGGCAAAAACGTTATCCTGAAATCCATGCTACTACCAAAGTTAAACCACCTATTTTAATCCATTCCTAGTCCATCCGAAGACAAATTACAAAAGTTTCAAAAAAAGTGTTTTAATTTTGTTTGGCAAGGGAAAACAGATAAGGTAAAGCGAGAAATTATGCATCTTAACCCAAAAATGGAGGAATAAGTGTACCCATTGTAAAAACTACTATAAATGCTCAAAACATAATGTGGATTAAACGGTTTTTGCTTAACAATTCAAAATGTGCTTCTATTGCAAATGAAATCCTAGTCGATTCAAATAAATTATGGTATGCTGATGCACAATATGTGTGCAATAATATTATTCCCAGTGTCTCAAATCAATTTTGGAGTGATGTGTTAACGGCATGGTGGCACTACCTAAAAAGGTGTTACACAAATGTGCAAGAAATATCAGATATTTTCAACCAGTCTCTATGGTTTAATAATAACATTAAAATAGAGGGAAATTCTATCTACTATGAAAATATGGCAAAAAAAGCGAATAATGTTAGTTTGTGATATTTTAGATCAGAATGGAAATTTCTTACATAAAGTTGACATAGAAAAAAATATGGAATTGCAAATATAAACTTCCTTCATCTAGAAGGTATAAAGAGTACTGTTTTAGCATATTGCAGAATCAGAAAAGAACCTGATACGGGTTGGACCTATCAGGTCAAATACCCAACATTACCCTTTAATATATCTTGCATTTGGGGACAAAACCAAAGGAGTAAATCCTTCTACAACATACTTTTACCTCAAGTTGAAACTAGACCAACAAGCCAAAAATAATGGGAAGACATCCCCAACAAACAATATAACAAGGAAGACTGGTTTACCATATACTTAATGGCAAATAGATGCACAGAAAGTGTACAGTCAAGATGGTTTCATTTCAAGATTACTCACAAGATTTTAATGACTAAACATAAGTTACACTTGATGAATTACACAGGCTCTTCAATGTGCTCATTCTGTGAATCTGTTCCTGAAACAATCATTCATTAAACTTCAACTGTCAGAGAAAGGATGCATTTATCACAGAAGTTACACATTGACTTGTAGTTCTGTTTTTGCTTTCCTGAGCACAGGAAGCTTGACTGTGACATGTTGTAGCCATCCCACGTATGATTAACATCTGCCAGTCTCCGCTACTTACTGGGAATCAAATGTCAAATCTTTAGCATCGGAAACCTCTGCCATTCTTTATGTAGTGTATGCTTCAATTCCTCCATGAATATCGGATGACTGGGAAGGGAATGGTTATCAAACAGCTTTTGGTTCTTGTTGACAATGCTGAGTGTTGAGTGTCCCAGGTACTGTGATGACATCCAACGTGAAATCAAGCAATCATGTTAAATGCAACCCTACACCATCACCAAATGATTCATCTGCATTGATCATCTCCTGGCGATATACCTCATAACAATATCTCCATACCCAACAACAGCTATTGGTAACATGTAGAAAACACCGTCTTATATCAGACCAATGAACCCTACGCCTTGTTCTCAAGTTGCAGTTTTCTCGGAGCAATATGTTCCTGTCTGTATAGTCTGTGAGGAAATGACATCTGATCAGACAACATGCCCTAAGACTGTAGCTGCCTTCTCATGGTACTGGTGGAGAGTTGGAATTCTGCTCTCCATTGCCAGAACAGTTCTTCAGCATGGGGCATGGGATTGTGTCTTGCCAGACAAATTAGGACTCGGTCTCATCAGTCATTTTTCTTCCTCATCTTCCAGGTCCTGGACAATCCTTTACTTCACCGATGGCTACATGCTCCCTCAAAAGTTGACGAATAAACGTGTGACTAGTTAACGTTAGCAACGATTAATGCTCATGTGTATATTTGTATGTTTTTCTGATGTTCACGCAATGAATGATTTGTGTTTTACAGCTTGCATCGATGGTGCTTCAGCGACAACAATCCCAGCCACAAGATCCCTTTGCCTCAAACTGGTTGGAAAGGCTCAGACAAATCAAGCGCCATTCGACAAAAAGCTAGACTGGAGGAAAGAGGAGACAATGATGCTGTATTAACTGAGGACACTGAACAGAAGACCTTCAGAGGACGATCCTTCGTTGAGGACTTTACTGATTATGTGTAGTAAACAAGTTGAATTGTGCACATGATGCAGCAGTGTGGGGCTTGACACAAGTATTCCTACTGGTGTTTGCATTGAGAAGAAACTGTTAGCTGTCTCGTAAACCAAGTTGCCTGCCAGTTGACACATTAACTATTTGCATGGAAATTTATGGAGGTGATTTAAATATTGTGTCTGATGTACATGATAATATGGTCAGAACCAAATCATAATAAACACTAATACAAATGAAATATTGTGCAAAGCTGTGTAAAACTCTTAAGGATCATTGTTAGTGTATGACAGTATTCAACAAAGATCTTGAAAATCCTCTACCTCTCTTTGCCTTATATCCTGTATTTATATGGCTGCATTTACTCTGTACTAAATTTTCAGATTTTTAATAGACGACCTCTTCGCTGTCAACTTGTTCTCCTTGCAGCAGCACCGCCTCCGTGGTGTAGTGGTTAGAGCGTCCGCCCGGAGAGCGGAAGGTCGCGGGTTCGATCCCCGACCGCGTCATACCAAAAAGACGTTAAAATATGGTACTTGTTGGTCCCTGCCTGGCGCTCGGCATTAATGGGTACAACAAGGACTGGTCGACTCGGAATCAGTATAATGTGTCTGAGTGGGGTATTCGTGCTTCACTGCGGCATGGTATCTCAGTGGGCTAGCACTATAAAACCAGCTTAAGTCTGGGCTAGTACAAGCAGCCGCACATATGCATACACACGCATGCATGTCGTCATATGAGCGAAATATTCTCAAGCACGACGTTAAACCCAATTTCACCTCACCTCCTTGCAGCAGCACTGCTCTTACAACTTTTCTGTGCCCAATTTAAGGCAGGAAAACGTCACATTAGTCCTGTGAATTAACATCTCCTTCCAAGATGCTCCCCTTATGTAGTCACAAGAATTGAAGTTCAATTCCATGTGATAGTTTAAAAAATATATCACTAGAAGAAGCTATTTGGCTGTTCTTAAGGGTATACTGCCAGATTACTGGGTATTTATTCTCTCAGACCTGTTGTTCCAGCTTAGGCTATAGTCAGCCAATAGTTTTTGACCCTCTATGGAAAAAATTGGGAAGTGTGTGTGGGGGTAAGGAATTAATGCTATAATGCGCTGCTAAGGAAATTTAGATTATCTTTGAAGTGAAAAGTATTAATGAGAGATCGAGATCAATGTGACTAGAAGGGATGTAAAATTAGAAGGGAATTGTGACATCATAATTGAAAATGACATCACCAGTGTTATGAAATTTGAAGTGATTTCATTACTGACATAAAAGAACTGGAAATGCTCCTCAAAAGAAAGAAAAGATGACATTTGAACAGAACAATACAGGAATTAAGTTGGTCGGTAGAGTGATTATAGAGTGATTAACCTCCTCTTGCTTAGTTTTGAAGAATTAAGTACCCCTACAATATGTCTCTTCGACAGTTAAGTGAGTTTAGTTTTACACCGCACTCAGCGATATTCCAGCTATATGGTGGCGGTCTGTAAATAATCCAGTCTATACCAAACAATCCAGTGATCAACAACATGAGCATCGATCTGCGTAATTGAGAACCGATGACATGTGTCAAGCAAGTCAGCCAGCCTGACCACCCGATCCCGTTAGTTGCCTCTTACGACAAGCATGGGTTACTGAAGGCCAATATTCTAACCTGAACCTTTACGTGTTTCGACAATTAAGATTAAGCAAAACATTCTAAATAAAAGTGTTGTATTACTGAATAAAGTCTCATGGAATGAACAAGAAATTTCTTGACTTCAAGAACAAACAGGTACTTGATGCAAGCAGCAACTCTACTCATGATATGCATAGATGTCCGAGAAAACAACCTGCGCTAGCGAGAAAGGCCCCTTCAATGCCCCATGAAGTAACCAGAATTGTGTTTTCTGAAAAACAGCCCGGAAACCACGAGCAGCAATCCTCTAGACCAATTAAGGGAGGTGTAGGTACCTAAATATAGGACTGAACAAATGCTACCCAAAGGTACCAATGCTCATTGACAAACAGATATGTACAATTTGTAAGGTGGCAAAAATGACCATGAAATACCAGACAAATATTTTCATAGTACTAGATAATCCCGCTACTATGTGAAAATCAAAGTTACGAACACATCTTCAATGCGTGAATAAGCTGGCCAAGACATGCGAGAACCGGTATAAAAAGTGGATGATGAAAGTATGCGATTCAACTGTTAATGAATAAACTTTCTGAACAACATACACCACACGAAGGAAAGGTATTTCCCAAATTTACTTACGCTGGGAAATGAACAGTTCATCCAGCGACCATATAAACAATGTTTGAAATCTACGTATCATTTAGCTGTCAGGGTTGCACATGTTTACGGAGGTTTTGACATAAACGGAGGTTTTGACAGAAACGAACACCCAACTCTGTATTTACATGTGTTTCATGTGTTTTCTGGCATGTGTAACAAACATAAATGCTGTGAATGAAGGACATTGATTTTAATACACTTTAAATTTCGTAAGATCAGGGTTAGGTTTGTCATATATTCAGTAGATGTGTAAATAATTGTTAATGGGTAAATGTAGTGTTACAACACAAATTTAACATGTATTTCAATGGTTAGGTAATATGGCTGTAACATCGGGTTCGTTAGCGCCCCCGACCACGCAATAATGTACTGAGATCTTTGGAAACCCAAGTGAAGACAGTGATACCAATGACTGAGCACCTACAATGTAAAGTGCTTTCTTCACGCACACATCATGTCTTCTTTGAGTGGCATTTTAGAAGTTGGGAAGTACAATATAGAACAAACTTTATGGACAAAAATGGAAGTCGGACAACTGGTAGTCTAGACTGTGGACTTTGTGTACCCAGTCTAGACTACCAGTTGTCCGACTTCCATTTTTGTGGAAGCCGCGGTGGCTGAGCAGTCTAGGCGTCTGACTTTGTGTGCTGGCGATTAGGTGCCTGATTCTGAGGGTGTGGGTTCGAATCCTGGATGGAACTCAACCCAAAAAAGTACTAGAATCTGTACTTTACTGAGAAAGTGTAATCCCAAATATAACATAAGTTACATTTGACCACTTTCTAAAATGGCATTGTGTATTTCATAGCCACTATATAGCAGAAATTTTGCTGAGTGTGGCGTTAAACAACAAACCAATCAAACAAACAAATCTTTTTACCACAAAATTCATATGGTATGGAAATATTTGACATATTTTTGCTGTTGTACAAAACAACCTTAGGACTAAGGTGACCGTAAGTCCCATACCTCAACATAGCCTTACGATAGACTTACCGCTATGGTTGTTCTGTACAAGGCACCCTATTCATTAAAGTTGCTCAGTCTGAGAAAATAAGGGTGTTGCTTAATTTATTTCCATGTGTATATAGAACCGAGCTACATATGCAGCAATTTATATGGGTGGACATAGGTGTAGCAATGCCTGCAATATTCATCTCGATTTAAAAATATTTTACTTTGATATATCTACAACACTACATTGGTACCCTCCCCTTCGCCTCCAGCCTGCTCTCCTACCCAGAGTTCCATGCGCCAGCATAGTACCTCTGCCACAGGCAGCCGTGATGATTCGTCAAATGATTCACAGTTTGTTTCAAGATATTGTATACAAACGTGATGTGCCTACAGTCCGTTTGAGTCAGAAACGGACCGATGAATTGCAAATTTTATCATTGTACAAAATTGCCACATAAATATAAATAGTACACATGTTTATCTTTACTAATACCCAACAGCTTTCTTATATTTGAAAATTTTCCGGACTCCACCTAAAAAGTTCTTTAAGAAACTATCATTAAAATTTTGACAGAGTTCACTATTTGTTACGAGGGAGGAGTGCAGAGAAAGGGACAGCCAGGTGTGCGAGAATGGATGGAGACGGCACAGCACAGGCTAATGAATCAATAACGTGGTGGGCACTTGTGCACGTGCTTCTCTAACACCTGGCTGTCCCTTTCTCTGCACTCCTCCCTCGGAAGTTTTTCTCAGGTACATCTGGCGTTCGACAAGATGTAAATTTATCACCGATACTATTTACAATATTTCTGAATCATCTTGAAATAATCTACAAAATGACAAATGTAAAGGAGTCAAATTACATCCCGATGATTTTAACAACCGATTAGAAACTATGATAAATTTGTTTACTTTGTTATATGTTATACACCGTTCTGCTAGCAGCATACCAACAGGTTTACAACATACGTTAGATTGCTTTGATCATTATAAAGATTGGAGACTTAATCTAAATGTATCAAAAACAAGTATACTTATATTTGGTGGTTCCGAAGAAGATTATAAATACTGTTTCAAAATGGGAAATGTTGCAGTGTGCAACTGTTGCCTGTGGAGAGTGCATCTTAATGCCGACTCTCGTTTTAGTGTTCGCTCATTACGTCAATAAACCAGATGTATCCACTAGCTACACATTTTGCTCTATATGGGTATGTTTGGGACATAAAGTAACACAAGTGAAGTTTCCTTTTGTGTTTATTTATTTATACCCTTTGAGAGATGAGATGAAAGTAGTTTTTATGCCATGTCGCGATTATGTCCGAATGGCATAGGCAAGTGCATCGAATGGCGGCATGCCATAGGGAAGCTAGACCTCCGGCCGTGCCTTTTGGAAGTTCGTTTTGACTGTCCAACAAGCTGTTTAAACTGACGATCCACGAACTTGGATCGCCAAGGCATGAAGGTCGTACAAGTAAATGCGATGCTGCATCGCAGTCATTTCCCCCGTCGGAGAAGTCCTCACACAAGATATATACTATACAAACAAAAAGTATGGGAACACCTTAAATTTTGATAGTCATATTATAAACTTAAACGTAGTGAGGTCATTTAACGCCCGTTCTCACTAATGAGGTGCAAATGGGTAAGCGTCGTAAGTCAAAAATCTGTTATAGTGACTAATTTAGGACAACCATCGTCCAAATATTTAAAAAGTCCAAAACTATGTACTCAAGACATGTGAGACTTTATTGTAATATATAAAAGACGCTAAGCTGTATTTTTAATCACTACTGTACATCCTTATCACTACCGCATTGTAAATTGACTTGTCAGCCCATTAATTATTGTATAAGACATTTATAACCTTCATTGGTAATCCCCCCTTGGCCGTGTCTGCCATCACATCAACTGGTCAAGGGGTTGTATCCCATAACCCCTACATGCCACTATCCCTACAGCCCAGTACCCCTACAATTAGTTAAAACAACAC